TTTTTTTATCTTATGACCTTGTCAGTGAAATTTGATATACTTATAAAAAAAAAATAACCCTGACCTAAGCTTAGTATGGAATGAGATATATGTTTTCATAATTGACCTGTGCAATACCCGTGACAAAACTATAACAAGTCACTGGAATGTATATAGCCTAAGATCTTTGACCTTGGCATTTGACTTTCTTTTTACAAAACTTTTAATCCTGGCCAAAGCTTTGCACCTGATGAGACCGGACTTTAATATTTTCTTGTACATGAACATAGCTGTAACAAGACCTTCCAAATATACTTTGATTTTTAACCTCATAAACTTGACATTGAAGTTTGATCGACTTTCAAATCATAACTCGATCCTTGGTCCTAAGCTTTTAAACAGAACATCCCACTTTAAAAATATATAATAATTTTAAATATGATGAGCCGCCACGACAGTCACAATATGCCATAGACGATTGCATCCCAACCAAAAAGGAAAAAAAAAAACAACAAAAAACGATTAAAGACATTCCATATCATTTCCATGCAGTGAAAATACACTGGGTCTCCTTCTTGACAACATGACAGCTAGGGTTTGTAGAACACATATTTTGGCACTATTATCCTACTGTTCTACTGTCATGAACATAGAAGAAATTTGAACTTTGTGTTGGTTGCTCTTCTTTTATGATAATTTTTACCATTTCACACTTTATTGATTAATTATGTAGATATGTATATCTTCACATTTTCTCTGGAACAAGTAAACAACATAATGGAATTTTTAGATTTCTCTCGATTTATGCAATAGAGGAATCAGGATACATTGGCATTTACAATGTAAAGATAGTTCCACACAAATATAAATCTTTGTCCATTGTTATAAGTTTCTATATCCTTTGCTTCCTCCTTGACAGGCTAACACTACAAAATAAAAAGTAAATAAGATCAATATAACATTAGAGTCAAGGCATCTTAATCACAATAAAATCATTATAGTTCATTAAACAACTCATACGTTCTCCACAAGATGTTACGTTTATGAAAACACCCTAAAAAGTAATTGGATTCATTTTCGTAATGCAAACTATGTTGAAGGTCACCCTACTAAAAAGATGGGAACTAGACCCTGCACGAGGGAAGAAAAAACCGTGATGAAGGGTATATAGACCCTGGTGATTGGTATACAAACCCTGGTGATGGGTATACAGACCCTGGTGATAGGTATACAGACCCTGGTGATGGGTATATAGACCCTGGTGATAGGTATAAAGACCCTGGTGATAGGTATAAAGACCCTGGTGATAGATAAAACGGACCCTAGTGATAGGTATACAGACCCTGGTGATAGGTATACAGACCCTGGTGATGGGTATACAGACCCTGGTGATAGATAATACAGACCCTGGTGGTGGGTATACAGACCCTGGTGATGGGTATATAGACCCTGGTGATAGGTATACAGACCCTGGTGATGGGTATACAGACCTTGGTGATAGATAATACAGACCCTGGTGATGGGTATATAGACCCTGGTGATAGGTATAAAGACCCTGGTGATAGATAAAACGGACCCTGGTGATAGGTATAAAGACCCTGGTGATAGATAAAACGGACCCTGGTGATAGGTATACAGACCCTGGTGATAAGTAAAGAGACCCGGGTGATAGGTATACAGACCCTGGTGATAGGTATACAAACCCTGGTGATGGGTATACAGACGCTGGTGATGGGTATACAGACCCTGGTGATGGGTATATAGACCCTGGTGATAGGTATAAAGACCCCGGTGATAGATAAAACGGACCCTAGTGATAGGTATACAGACCATGGTGATAAGTATACAGACCCTGGTGATAGGTATACAGACCCTGGTGATGGGTATACAGACCCTGGTGATAGATAATACAGACCCTGGTGGTGGGTATACAGACCCTGGTGATGGGTATATAGACCCTGGTGATAGATAAAACGGACCCTGGTGATAGGTATACAGACCCTGGTGATAGATAATACAGACCCTGGTGGTGGGTATACAGACCCTGGTGATGGGTATATAGACCCTGGTGATAGGTATACAGACCCTGGTGATGGGTATACAGACCCTGGTGATAGGTATAAAGACCCTGGTGATAGGTATAAAGACCCTGGTGATAGATAAAACGGACCCTGGTGATAGGTATACAGACCCTGGTGATAAGTAAAGAGACCCGGGTGATAGGTATACAGACCCTGGTGATAGGTATACAAACCCTGGTGATGGGTATACAGACGCTGGTGATGGGTATACAGACCCTGGTGATGGGTATATAGACCCTGGTGATAGGTATAAAGACCCTGGTGATAGATAAAACGGACCCTAGTGATAGGTATACAGACCCTGGTGATAGGTATACAGACCCTGGTGATGGGTATACAGACCCTGGTGATAGATAATACAGACCCTGGTGATGGGTATACAGACCCTGGTGATGGGTATATAGACCCTGGTGATAGGTATACAGACCCTGGTGATGGGTATACAGACCTTGGTGATAGATAATACAGACCCTGGTGATGGGTATATAGACCCTGGTGATAGGTATAAAGACCCTGGTGATGGGTATACAGACCCTGGTGATAGGTATATAGACCCTGGTGATAGGTATACAGACCCTGGTGATAAGTAAAGAGACCCGGGTGATAGGTATACAGACCCTGGTGATAGGTATACAAACCCTGGTGATGGGTATACAGACGCTGGTGATGGGTATACAGACCCTGGTGATGGGTATATAGACCCTGGTGATAGGTATAAAGACCCTGGTGATAGATAAAACGGACCCTGGTGATAGGTATACAGACCCTGGTGATAAGTAAAGAGACCCGGGTGATAGGTATACAGACCCTGGTGATAGGTATACAAACCCTGGTGATGGGTATACAGACGCTGGTGATGGGTATACAGACCCTGGTGATGGGTATATAGACCCTGGTGATAGGTATAAAGACCCTGGTGATAGATAAAACGGACCCTAGTGATAGGTATACAGACCCTGGTGATAGGTATACAGACCCTGGTGATGGGTATACAGACCCTGGTGATAGATAATACAGACCCTGGTGGTGGGTATACAGACCCTGGTGATGGGTATATAGACCCTGGTGATAGGTATACAGACCCTGGTGATGGGTATACAGACCTTGGTGATAGATAATACAGACCCTGGTGATGGGTATATAGACCCTGGTGATAGGTATAAAGACCCTGGTGATAGATAAAACGGACCCTGGTGATAGGTATAAAGACCCTGGTGATAGGTATACAGACCCTGGTGATAAGTAAAGAGACCCGGGTGATAGGTATACAGACCCTGGTGATAGGTATACAAACCCTGGTGATGGGTATACAGACCCTGGTGATGGGTATACAGACCCTGGTGATGGGTATATAGACCCTGGTGATAGGTATAAAGACCCTGGTGATAGATAAAACGGACCCTAGTGATAGGTATACAGACCCTGGTGATAAGTATACAGACCCTGGTGATAGGTATACAGACCCTGGTGATGGGTATACAGACCTTGGTGATAGATAATACAGACCCTGGTGGTGGGTATACGGACCCTGGTGATGGGTATATAGACCCTGGTGATAGGTTTACAGACCCTGGTGATGGGTATACAGACCTTGGTGATAGATAATACAGACCCTGGTGATGGGTATATAGACCCTGGTGATAGGTATAAAGACCCTGGTGATGGGTATACAGACCCTGGTGATAGGTATATAGACCCTGGTGATAGGTATACAGACCCTGGTGATAAGTAAAGAGACCCGGGTGATAGGTATACAGACCCTGGTGATAGGTATACAAACCCTGGTGATTGGTTTATAGACCCTGGTGATAGGTTTATAGACCCTGGTGATGGGTATACAGACCCTGATGATGGGTATAAAGACCCTGGTGATGGGTATATAGACCCTGGTGATAGGTATAAAGACCCTGGTGATAGATAAAATGGACCCTGGTGATAGGTATACAGACCCTGGTGATAAGTATACAGACCCTGGTGATAGGTATACAGACTCTGGTGATGGGTATACAGACCCTGGTGATGGGTATAAAGACCCTGGTGATAGATAATACAGACCCTGGTGGTGGGTATACAGACCCTGGTGATGGGTATACAGACCTTGGTGATAGATAATACAGACCCTGGTGATGGGTATATAGACCCTGGTGATGGTATACAAACTATGGCAATACATAAATATATGATAAATGCATAAATAAATCAATAAATCAATGCAAAAATAAATCAATCAATCAATAAAGAAATAAAAAATAAAGAAAAATACGAATAAATGAATGCATAAATAAATAGATAAATAATAAATAAATAAATAAATAAATAAATAAATAAATAGAATACGAAATAAATGAAGGAATGAATATAATAAATAGATAAACAAACAAATAAATGAACTTCTTGATGAATTAAGCAATTACTTAATCATTAGAATAATAAATAAATAAACAAACATGCATACAAATTAATAAATCAATGAATTGATTAATAGATAATTAATTAATGGATGGAATAATTAATAAATGAAGGAAAGAATGTTATAAATGAATTTTAAAAAAAATACAAATATATATTTTTTAATAAATTAATCAGTTACTTAGTTAATTAATTATAAGAATGATAAATAAATAAATTAAATAAATAAATAAATAAATAAATAAATAAATAAATAAATAAATAAATAAATAAATAAATAAAAACTAACTGTAAAGTTGATTGATTTATTCTTCTGCTTTTTTAAATAAAAGTTGATCGAATTATGCAAAAATTTCTGCATCTGACTATAGTATCATTCCGCATTACTAGTTTCCATTATATATTCCGAATTTCCTCTCTGCTGTTTTCCGATCTCGATGGAAATTTATTTCACGCATGCGCTCTGCCTGGTTATAGAGGCTGGTTACGAGATCCAAAACAGCATACATATTATACCTCCAGCCGTCGATGAGCCGAAATTTGGTCGGAAAATGTTACGTATCCCAGTTCAGAGGATTTTTGCGCATTCTTTGCGGCCTAGTTTTTTCTTAAAAGATTGTAAAGACCCTTCTGTCTGTCCTAAAGTTCTGAGATGTTATTCCACACAGTCAGTGACAAAAGGCGGCTCAGATGCAGAAGTAACCGAAAAGCAAACAGAGGAAACTCGAATTAAGAAGAGTCGACCGTTGACAAATACACCTTTCATTCGAGAACTGTTTCTTGGAAGGTTTGCTAAAGTAATATATTTCTTCTTTTCCTTGATTCAAAATTTTGAACATGGGGGGGGGGGGTGTGAGGTAACCAGTAAGGTGTACTCTCTAAGTAGGCCTAATACTATAAACAGTTTTCTTCTCTTCCAAGCGTGCTGGGCTTCAAAATTGGCTATTTTCACACAAATATAAACATGATAAATGTTTAATTCATCTAAGGAAGACCCTCTTAAAAATATGTAGTTGGTGATTTGCAACTTGAAGACTTAAAGTAGGTCCCATTCATTGTCTGCTAGCTGCTGCATCTAATTGTGCTAAGTTTTGCAGATAACCTTTCGAGATATTTTTCCCCATTTAAAATTAATATGTTGACGGTGCAATGCAACCTTTAGGGCGAGAGCCTATTCAGTTTTCCTTCAAACTGCACATGACATTTGGTGCGTCGATCTAGACTCTGACGTCACATGACGTCGTATGCAAGTTGCATTACCAAATCGAAGCCTGAACAGTGCTAGTTTTAATGAAGAATGTTTAATCTACTGGGTTTTTTTTTTCCTACAATATCCATTAAATCAATGTGGTTTTATTTTTTGTTGAACTTTTGTTGCTACCGTGAGAACGTAGTTTCCGGCGAAATGCAATTTGCAAAGCATCATGGGACCACAAGTTACTGTGGAAAAAAAATCGTTTGGATCAATGTGCAAAGTTTAAATTTTCTCTTTGCCTAAGCGTTGCTTTAAGAGCTCGCAATGACAGGCAGTACTTCGCGCCGCTCGCTGCACTCGCTATAATTCATTTTTAATTCATTTTGTTTGAGATACTGCCAGCTAGGAGCAGTTATCTTGGTCCAAATGTTCATATACATATTAATGAATTATACAGTAGAGCTTTGATATTGTCTAAATTCATTATTTACAGGAGACATTAATTTATCCTGAAATGACCAAAGAAGAATTGGAGAATCTGAATCAAATGGTTCAACCAGTAGAAAAATTCTTCAATGAGGCATGTAAGTAATGAGTGGTGGATCTAAGTTATGAGTGATGGATCTACGTAATGAGTGGTGGATCTAAAGGAGTGTGTATCCTTAAAGTTTGATGATTATTTTGTATCAATTAATGAGTGGTGGATCTATGTCCTTAAAGCTTGATGATTATTTTGTATCAATTTGTTCCATCATTTTTCAATTCAAAAATAAAATGTTTCAAATTTTTGAAACCTCCTGAATTTCTAAAAACTATGATAGTAAAATTTAATTATTAAACATGTCAGTTTATGGTATATAAGTAAACAGCTGTATTCATGAAATTTAGATAAAATTAAAGCTATGTTAATTGACTTTTGTTTGTTTTCTTGATAAAGACTGAAATTTTTGGTTGCCTTTCAGTGGATTCCAAAAGTATTGATGTAAACGCAAAGATTCCTGATGATGTTTTACAAAGTCTGAAAGACCTTGGACTTTTTGGACAACAGATTCCAGAGGAGTATGGTATGTTTTGTAAATGTTATTCACAAACAAAAAGATATTGATTTCGTAAGAGGGTCATTCAAAAAATATGTAGACTTTTGTTATAGCTTTTTTATTACACATCATATTATAATCAAATTTCGTAGTTGTATTTTATGTACACATTTTTTTGGTACACATATTTTAACAATAGATTCAAATAAATTGAGTTAAAAAATTGAATACATCTTTATATTTTTCAAAATCATTAGAAGTTTATGACAGCAAAAATGGGGTCACAAAGCACGGTCAAAATTGAGTAATTTACTATCAATGCACTTTATAATGTCTATACCTATAATCAATGTCGCTTAAACGAAATACTATAGCTAAAAATCTGGTCAGAAAGGTTAGTATGTCATGGAAATGATGTGCACTTCACCTGTTGCATGCGGAATTTGTGAAAGCATAGTAATGTGGTAAAGAATTAGAAAACACTAACAAACTAATTTAAGTTACTCGAGCAATTGTTAGCAAACTAGGTGTCAAGTGTTATGGAAACTTTTTTATGAATGGGTAAGACATTACAAACCATGCATGAAATGAAAAAGCAGAGTACCGTGCTCCATGGTGACAAAACATGATGATTTTATTTAAATATTGAGTACAATGAGTTCCATTTAATCAAATAAAATTAAACCTCACACATTGACATAATAAATGTTTTTACATATAAAAATTTCATTATGTGTTGATCTTAAATCTTGTAAAAATAATATGATGATGAAAGAAATTGTCTACATACATGTATTTTTTGATTGACCCCCGTAACTTTAACTCAACTGACCTATCAATACATTTCCTATATTTAACTCCAGTTAGTTTTCTTCACAATAAAAACAAGGAAATACTTTATATAAATATCAAATTGTTATTTTTCAAATGTACTGATAGAATATATTCTCGATATTTTAAGCTTTCAAGTTGTTAATTATTTATAAATTGTTATTAATGTTGAATTTCTATCTAATATACCTGTAAGATTAATTTATCCTCATTTTCATCTCTGTAATGATTTAAATATAATGGTGGTAACAAGGAAATGTTTGATATAAATGCTTCATTTTTTCTTGTATACTTGTAAAATGTATCTTCCACTTGTTTACCCCTGTAATGATTTACATAAATTGCTATTCGTAACTTTATGATTTACATAAATTGCTATGGTATATGTAACTTTATGATTTATATGAATTACTATTTGTAACTTTATGATTTACTCAAATTTCTATTCTTAACTTTATTCTTAGGGGGACTTGGACTGAATGCTACTGAGTTTGCCCGACTGGCTGAGATCACCGCCTTAGATGGGTCAATAGCTGTTACACTGGCAGCTCATCAATCTATTGGCTTAAAGGTAAAATCTGTCCTCATCAGTTCACTGGGTAAAGCCTTAAAGGTAAAAACTGTTCTCATCATTCAGTTGTCTTGAATGAAAAATAGGTCCTCATTAGTCAATTGACTTATAGATGAAATATGTCCTCATCAGTTTATTGGCTTAAAGGTAAAATATGTCCCCATCAGTTTATTGGCTTAAAGGTAAAATCTGTCCTCATCAGTTTATTGGCTTAAAGGTAAAATCTGTTATAATCAGTTCACTGACTTAAAGGTAAAATCTGTCCTCATCAGTTCATTGGCTTAAAAGTAAACTCTGTCACCACAAATCCGTTGCCTTGTTGGAGGTAAATTCCTATCAGTTTTTTAGCTGAAAGGTAAAATAAGTATCCAGCAGTACTGTAGCTGACAAATGAAATCTATTAAATAATTCTGTCGACTTAAAGGTAAAATAAGTTCTCATTATCAAATGCAGACATTAATGTGAAGTAAGTCAGACATATTGAAATTTCTTTAAAATTCAAAAAAAAGAAAAAAAGAACAGTGTTGGTCTCAGTTATTTAGTAAAGACAAACACCCGTTCTCTTTATAATGGACTTCCTTATCAAATTAGAACATCTTATCTTCTATGTGTGAAAAGCAATAAATCATTTATTATTTACCTGATATTTTGTATATATTAGTACACTACATGATTTTAGTTTTCCTCCTTATTTACACAGGGTATTCTGATTGCTGGGAATGATGAACAGAAAGCTAAATATTTACCTAAGCTGGCCACAGGAGAACATACAGCAGCATTCTGTTTGACTGAGCCCTCCAGGTGAGTGAAGGACAGAGGGATCCTGATGCTTTCTGTGTGACTGAGCCCTCCAGGTGAGTGAAGGACAAAGGGATCCTGATGCTTTCTGTGTGACTGAGCCCTCCAGGTGAGTGAAGGACAAAGGGATCCTGATGCTTTCTGTCTGAACCCTCCAGGTGAGTGAAGGACAGAGGGATCCTGATGCTTTCTGTCTGACCGAGCCTTTCTGTCTGACTGAGTCCTCCAGGTGAGTGAAGGACAAAGAGATCCTGATGCTTTCTGTATGACTGAGTCCTCCAGGTGAGTGAAGGACAGAGGGATCCTGATGCTTTCTGTCTGACCGAGCCTTTCTGTCTGACTGAGCCCTCCAGGTGAGTGAAGGACAGAGGGATCCTGATGCTTTCTGTCTGACTGAGTCCTCCAGGTGAGTGAAGGACAGAGGGATCCTGATGCTTTCTGTCTGACTGAGTCCTCCAGGTGAGTGAAGGACAGAGGGATCCTGATGCTTTCTGTCTGACCAAGCCTTTCTGTCTGACTGAGCCCACCAGGTGAGTGAAGGACGGAGGGATCCTGATGCTTTCTGTCTGAGCATTTCTGTCTGACTGAGCCCTCCAGGTGAGTGAAGGACAGAGGGATCCTGATGTTTTCTGTCTGACTGAGTCTTCCAGGTGAGTGAAAGACAGAGGGATCCTGATGTTTTCTGTCTAACTGAGTCCTCTAGGTGAGTGAAGGACAGAGAGATCCTGATGCTTTCTGTCTGACTGAGTCCTCCAGTTGAGTGAAGGACAGAGGGATCCTGATGCTTTCTGTCTGAGTCCTACAGGTGAGTGAAGGACAGAGGGATCCTGATGTTTTCTGTCTGAGTCCTACAGGTGAGTGAAGGACAGAGGGATCCTGATGTTTTCTGTCTGAGTCCTACAGGTGAGTGAAGGACAGAGGGATCCTGATGTTTTCTGTCTGAGTCCTACAGGTGAGTGAAGGACAGAGGGATCCTGATGCTTTCTGTCTGAGTCCTACAGGTGAGTGAAGGACAGAGGGATCCTGATGTTTTCTGTCTGAGTCCTACAGGTGAGTGAAGGACAGAGGGATCCTGATGTTTTCTGTCTGACTGAGTCCTACAGGTGAGTGAAGGACAGAGGGATCCTGATGTTTTCTGTCTGACTGAGTCCTACAGGTGAGTGAAGGACAGAGGGATCCTGATGTTTTCTGTCTGACTGAACCCTCCAGGTGAGTGAAGGACAGAGGGATTCTGAAAAATCTTCTTCATTCTACAATCTCAGTTCCATAAAAAAAAACTGTTCAAGAGATTTCTTTCTTCAACTTTTAACTTGCTTTTCCTTATGTTAAGTTTAGTTCAGTTCAAGATATTTTATCGGAAAACCCCTTTAGGTACTTAATGATAGGTATATGTGTAGTTAAGAGCAATTCAATTGCATCAGAATTTTGTGTCTTGACTTAATGACCTTGGACTCACTTCTTCTGATCAGATATTTGTTTTAATGAAACTGTTCAAGATATTTTTATCAAATAAATATACTCCGGTTGAGTTGTGTCCAAAAAATTATCCTTGAGTTCAGCTTCCTTAAACTTTCAATTACATTTCTCTCTTTTTACTTTTAGTTTATTTTATTGAATTTGTTAAATGGTTACCTCATACAGTTCTATCTACAGATAATCAGTGAAAGCATTTCAATTTTAGGATTTTGTTTGAACGAACAAAAAAAACCCCACAACATTTCTATTTATGTTACAATACAACTGTTCTTTTGGTGAGACATTTAAGACATATATGAACATACTTAAAGTTATTAAAGAAGTTAATTTCTTGCATGCTATTTTTTCTATCATCAGTGGCAGTGATGCGGCCTCCATTCAGACCAGAGGTACACTGTCAGATGACGGAAAGACATTTCTATTGAACGGAGGAAAAATCTGGATATCTAATGGAGGAATCGCAGATATATTTACTGTGTTTGCTAAAACAAAAGTCATGGTTGATGTAAGTGTAGATTTTATCTACTTATCAGAATCATTTTAGTTCATTTTCTGATGTGAGATATCTAAATTTTTTGAAAAAAAAGGATTAATCCAAAATTGTTTAATTTGTATGCACAAACAGAAATTTTAAAAAATGCTGAATTTTAAAACAGTAGATTCATTCATAATATAACCTGTTATTGAAATCAAAATGTCAACTTTAAATGGAAGGTATGGTAATGTAGCGGTGTCTACTGAATACATACTTTATGTGTCCATTTTTAGAGTCCTAGGCACTGAAACTTTAGTTACGCAGTAAAAATAGAATACCGTACAGCAGGTTAAAATCGCTGTCAGAAAAGATCGCGATTTGTTCAATTTGTAGCAAATCGCGGTTGTTTGAATTAGCGGAAAGGAGAAATTATACAAAAACTTTTTGCAGGACTGCAAGTATTTTCTTTGCATATTGTTTCTATTCTAAATCCGATCCGCATAAGGAAACACCGATTTTAAGTCAAAACGGCGATTTACCATGTTACGCATTCAGATATTTTTCTTTCGTTCCCTTGTTTTTTTTTTCTTTGTTTTTTTAATAAGTATGTTTGAAATACGTACAAGTCTATGCTCAAGTGATTTATTCAAGTGATTTTAAGTCGTTTCCAAATCTATTAACATTGATATAAAAAAGCAAAGCACTGTTTTCTTCACTATGTAATTGCCTAGATTAAAGGTAATAAGACTGATTGATATGCACGGATGAAATGAAACAATGCATGCCTTATAGGTACTTACATCGCACCTGCACTGAGTGGCAGAATTAAATGTTAGTCAGAATTTTATTTATCAATTAAGCTTTACAAAAACAACAATTACGTGTTAGTGAGTGTTCTGTACACCCGCATAATTAGAAAGAAAGTCTACATCTGTATAATATTAATTAATGCATTTATGCTTGCTGGGATACATAGCGTTATCGAATCTTATCACAGATAACAGTAATATTTCAATTTATCCTTATCTTTTTTAAAAGAGTTATTCACTGTATGTTGAATTCGCGGAATTTTTATTTCCGTGAATATAGCGAATATTAACTCCGCGAGTTAATTTCCTGCTGTACAGTATTGCACCAGTAATCAACGTTTAATGTATATGCTTACCCTTTAAGTTTCATTTAATTCCTTTTTTTATCAATAATTATTTACTGTGTTTAAATGTTTGATGTAAACTGTCTTGATATTTTCTGATATGAAATAAAACAAGCATTTTGACAAATAATTTATGAATTACAAATGTTATCTACAAATCTTTTAAAAGGGTGTGGAAAAAGACAAAGTAACTGCATTTATTGTGGAGCGAGCTTTTGGTGGAGTCACTAGTGGAAAACCGGAGGATAAATTAGGGATCCGCGGATCTAACAGTGAGTAATCCAGACAGAAATAGCTCATAGACTCCGAGTCACTCCGGAAATAATCCTAGATCTAACAGTGAGTAATCCAGACAGATATAACTCAGAGACTCCGAGTCACTCCAGAAATAATCCTAGATCTAACAGTGAGTATTCCACTGCAGATAGAAATAGCTCAGAGACTCCGAGTCACTCCAGAAATAATCCTAGATCTAACTTTGAGTATTCCAGATAGAAATAACTCAGAGACCTAGAGTCACTCCAGAAATAATCCTAGATCTAACAGTAATCCAGATAGAAATAACTCAGAGACTCTGAGTCACTCCAGAAATAATCCTAGATCTAATAGTGAGGAATCCAGACAGAAATAGCTTAGAGACTCCGAGTCACTCCAGAAATAATCCTAGATCTAACAGTGCTTAATCCAGATACAAATAGCTCAGAAACTCAGAGTCACTCCAGAAATAATCCTAGATCTAACAGTGAGTATAATCCAGATACAAATAGCTCAGAAACTCAGAGTCACTCCAGAAATAATCCTAGATCTAACTGAGTAATCCAGATACAAATAGCTCAGAGACTCCGAGTCACTCCAGAAATAATCCTAGATCTAACTGAGTAATCCAGATACAAATAGCTCAGAGACTCCGAGTCACTCCAGAAATAATCCTAGATCTAACTGAGTAATCCAGATACAAATAGCTCAGAAACTCAGAGTCACTCCAGAAATAATCCTAGATCTAACAGTGCGTAATCCAGATACAAATAGCTCAGCGACTCCGAGTCACTCCAGAAATAATCCTAGATCTAACTGAGTAATCCAGATACAAATAGCTCAGAGACTCAGAGTCACTTCAGAAATAATCCTAGATCTAACAGTGATTAATCCAGATACAAATAACTCAGAGACTCAGAGTCACTCCAGAAATAATCCTAGATCTAATAGTGATTAATCCAGATACAAATAGCTCAGAGACTCAGAGTCTCTCCAGAAATAATCCTGGATCTAATAGTGAGCAATCCAGATAGAAATAACTCGGAGTCACTCCAGAAATAATCTTGGAATACCGGTAATAACTGTATCATTTCTGTAAGTGTAGCCTCTTTTAATGTAAACATTTATATACAATGTTATGTATATTACAAATGACCAATTACACATTATAAATTTTATTGAACAGCCTGCGAAGTTCATTTTGAGAACACCCCTGTTCCCACAGAGAATGTCCTTGGTGAGGTTGGTGGCGGATTCAAGGTCAGTGATAAGTGAAGTAGTCTACTAAAAAAAATTAGGGTCTGATTTGTTTAACTTCCAAGTTAAGTAAAAAAGCTATTTATATTTCTTTTAAATGAGAATTTTTAAAAAGCCTTTTAAAGTCATATATTAGAGAAATCAAACATGCAATATTTTCATTATAATCTAAATGATATATTAGTTAGAAAATAAGAAACACCAGAGTAAAAGAATTTTAGAAGAAAGTTTAAAATGATTTTAAAAATTTCAGGTGGCCATGAATATTTTAAACAGTGGTCGATTCAGCATGGGAAGTTCAGGGGCTGGAATCCTCAAAAAGCTGATTGGTGATTAAATATAGTAACATACACCACAATCAATGATCGGTCAATTTATTGGTGATTAAATATAGTAACATACACCACAATCAATGATCAGTCAATTTATTGGTGATTAAATATAGAAACATACACCTCAATCAATGATCAATCAATTTATTGGTGATTAAATATAGTAACACACACCTAAATCAATGATCAATCAATTTATTGGTGATTAAATTTAGTAACATACACCACAATCAATGATCGATCAATTTATTGTGATTAAATATATTAACATACACCTCAATCAATGATCAGTCAATTTATTGGTGATTAAATATAGTAACATACACCACAATGATCCATCAGTTTATTGGTGATTAAATATAGTAACATACACCTCAATCAATATCGGTCAATTTATCATTCTAGGAAATACTATATTTATATTCATATATGTAAGAAAATTGATAAAAATATGATATTTTATGCAGGAAAATAACTCAGAGACCAAATTTTACTCCCAATTACACATGTATGAAAGTCATCCATTCTGAAATGACAAGTTCTTGTTATACTTTGACAGGAATGACATGTGAGCATGCTGTCACAAGGAAACAGTTTGGGTCCCCACTCTCAGAGTTTGGTCTGATTCAGGTAAAGGGAGAGAACTTTAGATTTGAATGTGTGTGCATATATATCAGTCCAGTAGTACACATCAACATAATGAAATGATCATTGAAATAAGGTTTAAATAAGTATTCTCAGAAAGACTGCATCTTTACAGAAATGTTGAACTTTATGTAAAATTTTGATTTCATTTTATTGTATTATGGTTCATTGATAAGGGAGATAACTCTCATTTTGGACTCGCTCTAAAGTGACATCACACTGAGCCACAGAGACGTTGATAAAATTGTAACGATATAGGGCAGCGAATAATTCAAACATCAAGTATATTTTTGGTGGTTTTGAACATTTCACGTAAATATAAGGAATGTTTTTAAGTTTAGTGTGAATTATTGGTGTGTAAATCACAGACTTGCATGTAGGCATATATTTTTAGGTCACCTGAGTCACTCAGGTGACCTATTGCTATCCGTTTTCGTCCGTCGTCGTCCGTCGTCGTCCGTCGTCCGTCGTGCGTTGTGCGTCGTGTGTTAACATTTGAACATTTTCAGCTTCTTCTCTAAAACCGCTGAACCAATTTCAGCCAATTTTTGCATATGGCATCTATGGGTGAAGGGGAACAAAATTTGTGAATTTCATGGTCCCTGCCCCCCTGGGGCCTGAGGGGTGGGGCTAAAACCACCAAAATTAATGCAATTTTTAAAAATCTTCTTCTTTACTCCTGGACAACAAGGGGTCAAACTGTTGGCATGATTGTAATAAGCATTGAGCCCTCTACCAAAATTGTGAAATTCATGGCCCCAGGGTCAGGGGTTCTGGTGCTAGGGCGGGGCTATATAGATCATATAGTGAAAGTGCATTATTTCTTTGAAAATCTTCTTCTCTACTCCTGGGTATTATTGAAACAAATTGAATACATAGTTATGATAAGCAAGGGTGACTCTACCAAAATTGTGAAATTCATGGCCCCAGGGTCAGGGGTTCTGGTGCTAGGGCGGGGCTATATAGATCATATTGTGAAAGTGGATTATTTCTTTGAAAATCTTCTTCTCTACTCCTGGGTATTATTGAAACATATTGAATACATAGTTATGATAAGCAAGGGTGACTCTACCAAAATTGTGAAATTCATGGCCCCAGGGTCAAGGGTTCAGGTGAAAAGGTGGGGGGGGAGGGGGGGCTCTATTGATTATATGGTGAGAAAGCAAAATTTCTTTGAAAATCTTCTTCTCTACTCCTGGTTATTATTTAAACAAATTGAATACATAGTTATGATTAGCAAGAGTGACTGTACCAAAATTGTGAAATTCATTGCCCCAGGGTAAGGGGTTCTGGTGCTAGGGCAGGGCTATATAGATCATATTGTGAAAGTGCATTATTTCTTTGAAAATCCTCTTCTCTGCCCCTGGGTATTATTTAAACAAATTCAATACATAGTTATGATATGCAAGGATGCCTCTTCCAAAATTGTGAATTTCATGGCCCCAGGATCAAGGGTTCTGGTGAAAAGGGGGGGGGGGGGCTCTATTGATTATATGGTGAGAAAGCAAAATTTCTTTGAAAATCTTCTTCTCAACTCCTGGGTATTAATTAAACAAGTTAAATACATAGTTATGATAGGCTGACTCTACCAAATTTGTGAAATTCATGGCCCCAGGGTCAAGGGTTCTGGTGAAAAGGGGGGGGGGGGCACTATTGATTATATAGTGAAAAAGCAAAATTTCTTTGAAAATCTTCTTCTCTACTCCTGGTTATTATTTAAACAAATTGAATACATTGTTATGATAGGATGCCTCTTCCAAAATTGTTAAATTCATGGCCCCAGGGACAGGGGTTCTGGTGCTAGGGTGGGGCTATGTAGATCCTATAGTGAAGGTGAATTATTTCTTTGAGAATTTCTTCTTTGAGAATCTTCTTCTCTGCCCCTGGGTATTATTTAAATAAACTAAATACATTGTTATGATATGCAAGGATGCCTCTTCCAAAATTGTGAATTTCAGGCTCCCAGGATCAAGGGTTCTGGGGAAAAGGGGGGGGGGGGCTCTATTGATTATATAGCGAAAAAGCAAAATTTCTTTGAAAATATTCTGGTTAAAAAGCAAAGAAGCTAAGTGTATAGTTATGATGAGCAAGAGTGCTTCTTCCAGAGTAGTGAATTTCATGACCCCCTGGGTCAGATGTGCTGGTGTAAGGGTGGGGCTCTTGATAATATAGTGAAAATGCATTAATTCTATTAAATAATCCTGTCTGCTCTTAGTGTTAAGCAGACAAACAAAGTGATTACTTATGATGAGCAAACTTCTGGTCCCAGGGTGAGAGGCTCTGGTGTTTCTCAGTGGGGAGAAGGGGGGGAGGTGCTCTATTGATAATATAGTGAATATAGTGAATCTGTAGTAAAAATGCATTATTTCTTTAAAAATCTTCTCTGCACCTGGGCATATCAGAGGCAAAAAGAGTAAAAGTTTTAATAAGGAAGGGTATTCTTACCAGATTTTTGAACATCTGGACCATTTGTTCAAGTGTTCTGGTCCTGTCCAGGGCTCTATTAATTTGTATTCTACTGAGAGGAGTTATTCCCCTTTGCCATTTACTTTTGATAATTAATCACTGTAAATAATGTACTTGAAAGGTTAATAGAATAGGAGAATTATGCAAGAATTGTTATTGTATAATACAAAAAGTACTTTCTTAGTTTTAATGATCAGGTAGACATGTAAGTAGTAGATAAAAAAAAAAATCAGACAAAAATAACTTGTCTTATGAAATGTTCATCAAAGACCAAGAGAGGCCAATGTAAGAGATTTCAACAAGGAATTGAAATAGTACAGAGGCACTGATAGTTTGTTAATATACTTATGGTGAGAGTGATAAATGGGGAAGAGATTAGAACCTAATTTATGAACTGTTAATGAATACTAGACTAATTATTTTGTTGATCCTGATCACCCTATTTTTCTTGCTTTTGGGCAACAAAGGTTCACCTTTTAGTTCATTTTATACTCTATGGATTCTCTAAATTGTTGTATGATACTCAGGTGACCGTTAAGGCCCTTGGGCCTCTTGTTCATGAAGCGTGCTAGTGCTTCATGAAATATGCCTACGTGACAAGCCTGTGTGATTTACACACAAAAAACTTAAAAACATTCCTTAATTAAACTTCATTTGGGAACTCATTAGAAACAAACTTTAATATTAGTGAAAAGAGGGATAAAGCTTTAACATATTACATGTAAACTTATAAAAACATAGGGAGCTATTAATACACATATATACAAAAAAAAAACAAAAAAGGGATGAAAATGTCTAATGAATCAATTTATTGATAAAAAAGTTAATTACTGATGTTTGTTTCCAGGAGAAGTTTGCTCAGATGACGATTACGACGTACGCGATGGAGAGCATGGCTTATCTGACAGCAGGAACGCTGGACCTACACGAGAAACCTGACGTCTCATTGGAGGCTGCCATTGTTAAGGTCAGAACAGCAAGACCTAACTGTTACATTGTCAGACAACAAAAATAGCTGAGAGTCTCTATCTTACCGGCAGGGTCAGAACAACAGAGAAAGTAGTATATAGCTGAGAGTCTCTATCTTACCGGCAGGGTCAGAACAACAGAGAAAGTAGTATATAGCTGAGAGTCTCTATCTTACCGGCAGAATCAGAACAACAAAGAAAGTAGTATATAGCTGAGAGTCTCTATCTTACAGGCAGAATCAGAACAACAGAGAAAGTAGTATATAGCTGAGAGTCTCTATCTTACAGGCAGAATCAGAACAACAAAGAAAGTAGTATATAGCTGAGAGTCTCTATCTTACAGGCAGGGTCAGAACAACAGAGAAAGTAGTATATAGCTGAGAGTCACTATCTTACAGGTGGGTCAGAACAACAAAGAAAGTAGTATATAGCTGAGAGTCTCTATCTTACAGGTGGGTCAGAACAACAAAGAAAGTAGTATATAGCTGAGAGTCTCTATCTTACCGGCAGGGTCAGAACAACAGAGAAAGTAGTATATAGCTGAGAGTCTCTATCTTACCGGCAGGGTCAGAACAACAGAGAAAGTAGTATATAGCTGAGAGTCTCTATCTTACCGGCAGAATCAGAACAACAAAGAAAGTAGTATATAGCTGAGAGTCTCTATCTTACAGGCAGAATCAGAACAACAGAGAAAGTAGTATATAGCTGAGAGTCTCTATCTTACAGGCAGGGTCTGAACAACAGAGAAAGTAGTATATAGCTGAGAGTCTCTATCTTACAGGCAGGGTCAGAACAACAAAGAAAGAAGTATATAGCTGAGAGTCTCTATCTTACAGGCAGGGTCAGAACAACAAAGAAAGTAGTATATAGCTGAGAGTTTCTATCTTACAGGCAGGGTCAGAACAACAGAGAAAGTAGTATATAGCTGAGAGTCTCTATCTTCCAGGCAGGGTCAGAACAACAAAGAAAGTAGTATATAGCTGGGAGTTTCTATCTTACAGGCAGGGTCAGAACAACAAAAAAAGTAGTATATAGCTGAGAGTCTCTATCTTACAGGCAGAATCAGAACAACAAAGAAAGTAGTATATAGCTGAGAGTTTCTATCTTACAGGCAGGGTCTGAACAACGGAGAAAGTAGTATATAGCTGAGAGTCTCTATCTTACAGGTGGGTCAGAACAACAAAGAAAGTAGTATATAGCTGAGAGTCTCTATCTTACAGGCAGGGTCAGAACAACAAAGAAAGTAGTATATAGCTGAGAGTCTCTATCTTACAGGTAGGGGCAGAACAACAGAGAAAGTAGTATATAGCTGAGAGTCTCTATCTTACAGGCAGAATCAGAACAACAGAGAAAGTAGTATATAGCTGAGAGTCTCTATCTTACAGGCAGGGTCTGAAAAACTAGTAATAAGGTGAAATTTAAAGTCTCTATCTGAAATGCAGGGTGAGGTGTAGCTGTTTGACATTGGTAGCTAGATTAGGAAATTAGGAATTCATGACAGGATTGCAACAGATAAAAAGCAAAGGGACAGATCATCTATACTTATATTGAAATTGTATGTATTTAGTTGCAGATGTAAAAGTGTTAAATTGACATTGTAGATACTGTGTAAATAAGTGTTATGTTGAACATTGTAGATATTCAGTTCTGAGGGATGCTGGACATGTGTAAATGAGTGTCTACAGATTCTGGGAGGACTCGGCTACATGAAGGATTACCCTTATGAGCGTTATCTCAGAGATGGGCGCATATTGATGATATTTGAGGTATGGACTCAGATTCAAGGTCATTGTCTTATTGAAAGCAGAGCAAAATATGTATTTTATTAGTTTGTGAACACTTGGTCAGGTGTAAAATTTAACTTTTCAAGTAAAGATATTAACTGATAATTTTTTACTAATGAAACCACAAGTAAATGGCTTTAGTCAAATAGACAGGTAAACTTACCTAGTGTCTGAGGCAGGTAAAAGTGAGATGAAAAAAAACCCCAAGTTCAGCTTAAGTATGATCATTCGTTAAAATATTTCAGGGCACCAATGAGATTCTGCGACTCTTTGTTGCTCTAGAAGGAATGAAGTATGCAGGAAAAGAATTAACACAGGCTCTCAAGTAATTTTAAATTTTCTTTCACTGGGTTATTTACTCATAAATATACAAATTTTATTCTGAATAGTAGTTTTAATATTCAATGATTTCTTGTAATTGCACTTTTAATTCAGTAAAATTTAAATGAGTGAGACAAAGTACATGTAAATTCAATCTGACATTGTGATTTTCCCAGTGTAGATATATTTTCCCCCCAGAGAGAATTGCATTAGTTTTTATTTGCTTCATGTTAAGTGTATGTATATCATCATTTTAAAAATACTGCTGTGGAGCTGTATGAAATGCATATTGTACAAGCATGATGTAGGCTGTTCTTCACCATAATAATACATTGTATTCTGATTCTTTTATCATTATTTTTTTTTATTTTAAGGGTATTAAGAAATCCTTGGCAGAACCCAGGGGTGGCCTGGAAAATGTTCAAGAAAGGATTAAAGCAGAAATTAAAGAAGAAACCAGAAAGCACAATATTAATCCCACAACCACAGAAATCAACACTCCAGCTTCCTTCATCTCTACACAACACACTACAGGTAGATTAGTACATTTCATCAAGTCACTAATTTAGTGACTCTTAGTCACTCAGGTGACCAGTCGCTAAATGTTTTTTTGGCCTCAGCTGTGTAACGTTTTCAAGGTCCATCTTCATCTGTAGAGGAATTTCAAGTCATGTTTAAAGACATTCTTATAAAATAAAAATCAACATCAAGAAAATAAAATAATTATCATGTAACAAGTTCAACTCAACACATGATATAGTACAATCGTGAACATATGAGATATATGCAATTTTTTTTCCCTAAACAAGTGATGGTATACTGTAGATCACAAAAATTTTGTTACATCTTTATTTTCCTGAGATGATTTTTTATTTTTATTTTTTTTTTATATTTCTATGTATAAGCAAGAAAAAAATTTTACGAGTTTGTTTATTGTTCTACATAGTCTTCAATTGTACAAGTTAAAAAAATAATTTTCAGTGAGCAGAGCGTTACTGGTATTTATGCAAAAATAAAGTTTTTGTAAATTTAAAAATGTTATTTACAGTAAAGGTTCAACAGAAAATTACATTATCAGAACATTAGTATTAATGATATGATTTCAGCTGTAGGCCCAGTATCTAGAGGGTTGTACCATAGCATTTCAGAATGTTAGTATTAATGATATGCTTTCAGCTGGAGGCCCAGTATCTAGAGGGTTGTACCATAGCTTTTCAGAATGTTAGTATTAATGCTTTGATTTCAGCTGGAGGCCCAGTATCTAGAGGGTTGTACCATAGCATTTCAGAATGTTAGTATTAATGATATGCTTTCAGCTGGAGGCCCAGTATCTAGAGGGTTGTACCATAGCATTTTAGAATGTTAGTATTAATGCTTTGATTTCAGCTGGAGGCCCAGTATCTAGAGGGTTGTACCATAGCATTTCAGAATGTTAGTATTAATGATATGCTTTCAGCTGGAGGCCCAGTATCTAGAGGGTTGTACCATAGCATTTTAGAATGTTAGTATTAATGCTTTGATTTCAGCTGGAGGCCCAGTATCTAGAGGGTTGTACCATAGCATTTCAGAATGTTAGTATTAATGATATGATTTCAGCTGGAGGCCCAGTATCTAGAGGGTTGTACCATAGCATTTCAGAATGTTAGTATTAATGATATGCTTTCAGCTGGAGGCCCAGTATCTAGAGGGTTGTACCATAGCATTTCAGAATGTTAGTATTAATGATATGCTTTCAGCTGGAGGCCCAGTATCTAGAGGGTTGTACCATAGCTTTTCAGAATGTTAGTATTAATGATATGATTTCAGCTGGAGGCCCAGTATCTAGAGGGTTGTACCATAGCTTTTCAGAATGTTGTAGAGCATCTTCTGGTGACACATGGAAAGGTAAGTCTTCATTTCAGATCGTACAATCAGAAATATATCAACTAATGTAATTCGAGTTTCACCATTGCTTTGTACTGTCATAATATATTCCCTCATAATTCACTTACAGGACATAGTGAATGCCCAGATGGACCTTGCGAAAGTAGCCAACATTGTGATAGATATCTATGGAATGACAGCTTGTATTAGCCGATCTAACAGGTCATACTGTCTGGGACTCCAGAATGCGGACCATGAGGTAATGATTGCAGCTTCTTTTAGCCGATATTATATATCATGCTCTCTGGGGCTGACCATGGCGTAATGACAGCTTGTATTAGCCTATCTAATAGATCACAGTATCTGGGCTCCATTATGCAGACCATGATGTAATGACTGCTTATGTTAGGAGATTTAATAGATAAGTATACAATTATTGACTGGGTCCAAGGACGACAGTTGTTTTATTTGACCCAAGAAGGATATGTGGCCCGAAGCCACAGGCTGAGATCTTTTCAAGGTTCAAACAAAACAGCTGTTGTCTAATGACCCAGTCTATAATTGTTCATTTTTAAACAACTATTTGGCACTAAATTAGCTTTGTCAGTGTAATAGATCGAACTGTCTGGGGCCCCAAAACACATATTATGAGGTAATGATGGCTTGTATTAACTGATCTAATCTATCTGGGGCTCCAGAACGAGGACCATGAGGTAATTAGGGATGCAGTACTCAAACTTCATAAAGTAGAGGAAATTCTGCTGTATTATTGCTGTTCAACCTTAAACAAACAAAAATAACATTTTGTTAATGACCATGTCACTTTGTGAAAAAGTTCTTGAAATTTTCAATTAAAAAAAAGGGGGACAAGAAAATTGCAAATAATTATTATAAAAAAAACATCCAGGAGAAACAGATTTAAAACAAAATTATCATTTCCATCTCTTCCTCTGAAGAGGATAAACTAAAAAAAATTGGTTTGATCCTGAAACATCTAATGATTTTTAGATGTCTTTATGTAGTTCATTCCATTTGCTATTTCAGATTCTTCTGACAAAGGCTTTTTGTAAAGATGCTGTGAAGAGAATTCAAACAAACGTAAAAGAAATCTATGATGGTGAGTGTGACATAAATAATCTGGACAGAGAGATAAATTGTTCTTGACTCTCTATATCTAAATTTTCTTATTTTTCCTGAGATATTTTATGATTATTAATCTAGTTTCACCATTTTTCAATATAACGTCTGTAAGTTTTTGTGGAACAGATTTAAATGTAATATTTTAATCGTCACTCTTTCTGATCTCTTACCAACAGGAACAGTGTTGTTTGCATGATATATTCTTGAAATATTTAAATTTATGCATTTTTTTTTTCTAAAAACAGGTCCAGTGAAAAACAATTCAGAGAATTATGAGCACATCGCTCAGGCTGTGTTTAAACATGGTGGCTACGCGGCAGCTCATCCCCTGGAGAGAATGTGGTGAAGCATCTGGTCATGTGACCTTCTGGTCATGTGACCTACTTAATGATTTATCTTACTGGCCATTCAAATAAAACTTTCAGGGATAGTGAGTGAATGAGCATTCTATGAAGACTTCATTTCTCTTGAAAACTGTGATATATAGAGGGAAAACAAAAAAATAAGACATTTGTATTTGTATATATAAGTTATTAAAATGATGTTCTTTTTTATTGATTTTTACTCTTCCTTAGAAAAAGGATGTAGAGTTACAAGTGTAGGAAACACATGATTAGTCCAGAAATCAACTCCAGTCACAGGAAATAGGAGATCTTTAAGTTTGTATAACTATGGTATAATGATATCAAAGACTATTTTTTCAGGGTATTTTAGGACCCTTCTGAGTGTATTCTGTATAAATTACTCATCTTAATAATCATTAATAGCTTAAATCAAATACTGATTATTCCTATTGATATAAATAAGAATTATAAATTACTAATCAAATTGCTCTATTTTTCTAGCTTTTGTCAACGAGTAGCTCTATCATTATTGATAATAATTTTTCAAAGTAAATAAGAAATGACTCGCTACAAAATTCCACCTTTGATGGCCTGGACTGGTTTCTGATTTGATAGCTGTTGTCATTGATCTGTCTAATAAAAACAGATTTGTAATTCTCCATTTATTCTGAGGGCCATAAGAGAAACATGGCGATTTTAAACACACTTGTAAACTTTTCAAACCTCATTTTTGTGTTTTTCGAGATGGGTCTGTCAGCAACCTTATTACCACAAGGAATTTCAATTGAAATTTTCTGGGAAGCTGTTTGACACAGACTACCAAACCCTGCTTTCAGCAGAGGGAGAATCTTTTTGGGAAAATTCAAAGTTCAAGTTCATTTATTATACTCGCCAACAATCAGTGGTACATGAGTTACAGTATATACTGTAGAGTTAGACTTCAAAGTTCAACTGTGAAAGGGAAATTAAACATATACAATAACATCAGTAAGTGACATGCATATGTGTACAAAATACAGCAACAAACACACAGTGAAAACAGAAAGCAAAGGAATGAGGACATGAGTTATGGAGGACAGACATCGTTTATTTTAGATATGAATATACAGCGATTTTTTTAAAGATTTAAAAGAAGATGGGCGAACAAGGCGAGTGCAATGCCTATAATGCATCTAACATTAAAGTATACTTCATTTAAAATTTCCACAATTTGCCATAATCTCATTGAGATTGAAATTATTTGCCTATGAAATAGCATACACACACTAGAGAGGGCAAAAAGGATCATTTTCTTATACTAAAACACAATTTTTCGATATGAGTGGGTCTTCGCTCCATATTTTTCAAAGTTTATCTTCAAAGTTGGCCAAAAAATATACACTTTTTGGTCAACAAAAACATGGAGCAAAGACCCACTTTACCTGAAAAATACACTTTTATGACACAACATTCGCATCTTTCCGAGAAATACTTGAAGTCCATTTAGTAAAGGGTCATATCACAATATGATTTAAATGCCATGATTCTGCAAGAGCTGTGTAGCCTAGTGGTTAGCGTGTTAGTCTTAAAAGAAAATGATACTGAGGATTTATATTGCTAGGGTTCGAAGCCCAGGAATATTGCATTATTTTTTCTTTAATATCAGAATAATTTTTTCCGAGAAAATTTTCCTCGGAAAAGTTTTTTTTAATCATAATTTTATTAATTTCAATAATGAGAACTTTACTCTAAATACTAAAAAAATTCACAAATTGATTATGATTTTTATATATCTGAAGCTAGAGGCATACTGCGCGCCTTGCTCACCCATCTCCTTTGTGGTTGACATAATTTCAGTAAACTTAAGTGTATTTGGCATTTTACAAAATCTTCCTAATACTACCCAAAGTTTCATATTCTTAAATGAAATGGAATTCGTATTCTATATGACTTCAGTTAAATACCATACACAGTTTTTCATCCAGTGAAATATTGACCATGTACCAGTCTCAATTGGAAAGTTCTAAATTTTATCAGTATTTTTTGACTTTAACTTGGTAAAATCCTCAAAATATTTTTACACGTCCAAAATTACTCTTAAAGATTTTGTAAATTTGACCTTTTGTTGAGTCATTTTATCACTTATTTTGCTCCACAGCAGCAAGGATACAATTCCTGGCACTAGAACTTTGTTTATACCAAATGTTGGAAAAGTTAAGAAGAGGTTATAATTTTGTTAATAAAATCTACCCATGGATTTTTTTAGCCCCTTGGACATATTGAGAACATAAATATTTAGTAATATTCGATGCTCAGCTATTTTTATTTCTGAAGAATTCAAGGCAAGTAATTTTAACCAGAAAGATATCTTTCTTATTAATACATTTATGTACAATGGGAATCACCCAGCCTCCCCATACATCATATAAGAAGAAGGCGTACCACTCTTGAAATGTAAAATATGTTTTAAAATTTTTAAATTATACTTTCAATGACGTCAAGGTTTTCACACCTCCTAATTTCACAGCCATAGGTCAAAATCGGTACAACGACTTTATCAAAAAGATCTAACTGACATTCAGCTAGTAGGTTAAAGCTATATAAGGCGTATCTGAGCTAAAAAATAAAAATACGAGATTAAGTGTAGATCAATGTGATATTTGTAATTTACGTTCAAATTAAAATTTTCACCAATTTTGAACTTGAATAACCACAAGTTTCTATAGTTAAATTGTCCTTAAACTGTGTCTGATATTAAATGTGGAGTCTGTAAATAAATCGGTTCTTGTTTTAAATTTCTAATGTCTATGAAACGTGATCGATTTAAACTGTGTAATTTACAGGGAAGTCCTATCTTTATATAAAGTAATAAAACAAATAGAAAATCTTTTTTAATTTTAGTTAGTCTGAACTTTTCAAAAATACGCCATATATGACTGTCTTATCTTCCTTGTGATATACCATACGTTGTTTTTTGTGCTTGTCACATATTAAATGTTTTTTGGCCTTACAAAATGAGCCTGAGTGTGAAAATATGTGTACAAATATCCCTAGATACTTAAATTATTTCTTATTTTTTATTGCATTATTATTATGATAGAATGAAATATGAAGATAACGAACATCATTCAATCTCGAAAGTCCAATGAAACGATACAAATTTGAGGCAGAGCAATACGGACCTCAAAATTTAGAGGTGGGATCAGGTGCCACGGAAGAGTGAGCATCCCCTGCCGACCGGTCACACCCACCGTGTCCTCCTTGTCATGATCGGAAAAAAAACTCCGGAAAAATCCATACACAGTTCAGTGTATAAATAATGGATTAACAATTAGTATGAAAAAACGTCAGTCAGCATTTGACTTAATGATAGGTTGCATGTGCTGACAAGGTCATTGGATCGACCGTAAAACTTGCGAAATGATGACTTCAAACGAGATTGTAGATATCCTTGTTTCATCGACTTGTTTGTCAATAGTTTGCCTCGTTTTAGAAATTGTTCATACGTAGAGCATGCTCTTGCGTATCGAATCAACTGAGAGACATAAACCCCATATGCAGGTGATATGGGTACATTGCTACATAAGTAAGGGAAGTTGACAATTTAAAAGTTGAAGTCATCACGTTTATCATAAAGCTTTATTTTTAGGTTACCATTAACGTTTTTTTTTTCCTAGTAAAATATCTAAATATGAAACAGATGTGTCAGAATCTGTGGTATTTTTTATTTCAAGCTCACTGGGATATATCGAGTCGACATGTGAATGAAAGTAACTATTGTTAATTGATAATACGTCGTCGATATAACGAAATGTCGAGTTAAAGGCCACAGCAAGTGTTCTTCTCATGTAGAAGTTTTTGAATAAATTCTGCTTCATATGAATACAAAATTAGGTCTGCTAATATGGGGGCGCAATTGGTACCCATGGGAATTCCAACAGATTGTTGGAAGACCTGATCTCCAAAAACTACATAGATATTGTCGACCAGGAACTCATGCATCTTTTTAGTATCAACTTCAGAGTACTTGTGTGTTCAATCAGAATGCTTTTTATCAAAATAATTTTGCAAATGACCAATGACAAGGTATATTTACGAGTTCCATTTTTATTGAAAAAGCAGCTGTCTATGATGTCAAAAAGCCTGGACTTCAATTTATCGTGGGGAATAGTTGTATAAAATGTTGAAAAGTGGTACGTTTTGATGTTATTGATTTTAGTAAAATTTTATGATTTCAAATTTTCTAAAAGTTCTTTGGAGTTTTTAAGTATCCACATCTGCTTTACACCACTTCTCGAATATACTGTACAGTACTCCTGAAGTTTCTCCTTCATTACAATTAATATTTTAGTGAGGAGTAAAGAAAGAGGCTTGTTAGAACATTTACCGGAACCCGCTATGTATCTTTGTTCGTAAGGATTTTTATGAAGTTTAGGAATCCAGTAAAGGTATGGTAATTCAAATTCATTTTGATGGTTGGGAATATTAAAAATATCTAAAACGGGCATATGATTTTGAAAAATATCCTCCTTAGAAAGGGAGCTATGGGTGTAAGTTGGATTTTCACGTGCAGAATTAAATCCAAGTTCCCCTAAAATACAATTCAAATAATGAGTCTTACAAACAAAGACTATGTTGTTATCAACTTTGTCAGCTGGGACCAGTACATACTGATCGTGTATTCCATCTCTTTTTTATATTTTCTTATATATATATATATATATATATATATATATATATATATATATATATATATATATATATATATATATATATATATATATATATATATATATATATATATATATATTTTTTTTTTTTTTTTTTTTTTTTTTTTTTTTTTGACATCTAGGCCCTTTTGATATATTAAAATTTTTCTCTTACTAACGTTGTATTGTCCACTGTGAACAATACAAATGCCCCCTGTAGGGCTGTGGCACATTATTATAACATTATTATCTGCATAAAACAAAATATAAAGCTTTAAGATACACATATAATTCTTCAATAGCATCAGTTATGCTTTCCAATCCGAAAATATTTTTGACTAAGAGAAACTCTTCCAGGTCATTTATATATAAATAAAATTTAAAAAAAAGGCGGTATATTTTCACCTTGGCGAACACTAACATTACTGTTAATATAATCTGTTTGTGTGCCATTTAAATTAATTTAGTTTTAATTCCATTGAAAAAAAGTTGCTGTTTTTTTTTTTTTCTGAGGGTCTGAGCGTGTTATCACTTTAATTTTGATTTTGAATCCGTCCTGAACGGGAAAGAAATCGTTCATTCATTGAAAAGCTTTTCCACTTCTGTATATATCTACATCGCACCTATAAATGCTGTTTAAGGTCAAGATCTAGTAAATGACTTTAGACTGTCTTTTTGGTGCTAGATCCATTGTGACGTCATAATCAATTTTAACTTTATTTTTCCCGTACTTTATGGCGCTAATAGAATTATGTAGAAAATAAATTACTTTCATGGAATTCAGTTTGAAATCATGTGAAAATTAATCCCGATACCTATATTCAATTTGATTTTATTTTAAAGGAGAGGCTAAGAACACACAAATTACCATTTTCTGAGAGACTGTAGGCAGTCTGGATACCTTCCATTTGTCTGATATGGAAAAAACTCCCATATTCGTGACTGGTTTTCTTAATTTTTTATTGAAAATAACAGTTTAAAATATGATTTTTCGTCTCGTTTATCTACAGATTATGCCCCGATACACCTTATTTGACCAAGCTATAGTTATAAACTATCATTAAAGGAATTTATTTCTCAAATTTGAGAAATCTGTAGGTTCCTTTCATTTACTAGATCTTGACCTTAAGAGGAAAAATTCACTTGAGCGACTCCACCATAAATTTTGTAAAATGTTGAATTTAAACGAGATTGTTGATGTCTTTGTATCCTCAACTTATTTGTTGGTAGCACTTCTCGATTTAAAAATTGATCGTACATAGAATAATTTCATTCTCTTGCGTATATATCGAATCAACTTGGAAGGGTTAACCAAATATGCAGGTGATAATGGTATATTTCTACATAAATAAGGGAAGTAAAAAAATTAAAATCATCACTTTTATCATAAAGTTTATTTGTTAATTTGCCATTAATATCTTTTCCTAGTAAAGCATCCAAATATAAAACAGATGTGTCAGACTTTGTGGTGTCTTTTATTTCAAGGTCAATGGGATATTTCGAATTAACGTATGAATGAAAATAGATATTGTTAATTGATAAAACGTCGTCGATATATCTAAATGTCAAATTAATGGACACATCAAGAAACTTCTTCTTTTTTATGTAGAATCTTCGAATAAGAACAAGAATACAAAACAGGTCTGCTAATAACGGGGCCAAATTAGAACCCCTTGGGAATTCCAACATATTTGGGAGACATGGTGCGTTCAGGAGCTTAGACTCTAAGTAGAGCTTCGATCGTAAACGATATGTTAGCCTAACTTCTAGGCAGGGGTATCTAGCACAAATATTTTATGCTATAGGTACCAAATCCAAAATGGTTCCTTAGTTACCGCCTCGGATCACATGGGAAACGAAGAAGGAGCGGGGTTGTTTTCTCCATCTAGTAGAATTAATTGTTTAAAACATACACATTTTTGTTTGAATTCAACTCACTCTGTCCCAAATATTAGTTATTACTATGATAATTATGTCCAAAATCTAAAATCTGGCGGCTATAGGTGAGCTCTCCGTTCAAAAGAGCTAGATATCCCCGACCTAGCGGCTAGGCTAGCTTGCTACAATTTTAAACACAACCCTGGTCTCCAAAGATTGCATTGATATTCTCAAGCATCTTTTAATATCAACCTCGGAGAGCTTTTCTGAAGAATCAGAATGTTTTGGGGTTTTTTTTATTTTGCAGGTGACCAATGACAATTTATGACTTAAAAAAATAGGTTTGATATTTCCCTACCTGGTGATGAAATTTATTTAGACACTATAGAGATATGATTTTACATGTGAATAAGTTATATGCTGTTCAAGTTAATAAAATGAATAATTTTGATGCTTTTTCAGATAAAAATATCTTGCAAGTAAATGTCATCTATTGAAAAATTTACTCACAGAAGTAACAGAAAAAAAAATACAATAATTCATATTTTTGATATAGATATAGATAGAGGAAATATCATGTTGGATTAAGGATTACTAAAGGAAATAAAAACTGAAAAAACTAGAAAACTGACCAGTCAGCAAGGGCCCCACCGAGGGGTAGAAATATAAGAGTGCAGCTTACAGAATGAGAATTTTAATTGATTAGAAAAATTTTAAAATATATGAAGAATATGCAATAACAACTTTATTTATAAAATTTCAATATAATTTCTAAATATCCAACAACCTGTAAAGAGTATCCCTGTATTTACATGAGGTAGTAAAAAACATAATAATATCTATAATGACTCAATTAAATGTATATTCAAACAAGAATAAAGCATGTGTTTTCAAATATCACCAAGTCTTGACCTTAACTTCAAAACAAACATCAGTTACAGACAAAGGTTCATTTATCTTAAAGTGACAAATAAAGATAAGCCTGGAAAATTTTCTGCCCAAGACAAGATAATTAATCCCAAGGGATTAATTGTACTGCTCTCTTATCCTTTTCTTCCAAGTTTACAATAAGAACTCTTTCAGTAATGATAGAATGAGTTTATTATTGGACTACCCGTTAAAATTAATAGTATTCTTGAATTTACATACGGCAGCCAAAAAAAAAATGAATAAATAAATAAAATGAATAAATAAAAACAAAAAAATAAATAAATAAATAAAAAAAAACATATCTTTATGTATATCTTGTTTTTAGAATTCAATAAAATCATAACTCATTGTATATGTCATTGTATGAACATTATTTAAATCCACATTTCATAGAATGTAAACATCATTCAGAATTGACCTTAACTTCAAAACAAACTTCATTTGCAGACAGAGGTGTTAATTAATCTCAGTTTGACAGAAACAGATAATGCTTTGGATTCTCTTCAAGAGGAAAGTTAATTAATCCCATGGGACTAGTTGCAGCTTTCATAGTTACAATTGGAACATTCTCAGCAGTTATCTCTCTTTGCCCTGGCATTCATTCTAATGTAAAGTCAAGGAATCTACCCCACCACCCCAGCTCCAAACTGGATGACACAGAGAAACAAACTTAGCATCAAAATATGTCTTACTGCCTCTTCAACCAACATACCAAATTTGAACGTAATTGGTCAACTACAAAAAAAGTTATTAGAAAAAAACAGAAAATTTGTGGACGGAAGAATGACAGACGGACAGACAGACAAACAGACAGACAGACAGACGAACAGACAGACAGACAGACTATAGGGCACCCGCAAATCCTTGCGGGGCCCTAAATATTCATGAGGATACAGAAGTTAATTTTTTAATCAACAAGCATTCTGAGAATATTGCATTAGCAATACTAGTCCCCTACTGGCAAGTGTAATCTGGTTCCCGTTAAAAATGGAAAATGTCACAATTCCGCCAAAAATCAAGAAGCGGAACGAAATACGAACTTGATCTATAACTCATCACATGCCAAAAATCAACTCAATATCTTAAAGCGTTTAGGAAAAAATTGCGGAAAACCCTGAAAAATAGAAAAGGTCGTAATTCCGTTAAAATCATTGAAGCGGAACGAAATGCAAACTTGATCTGTAACTCATCAAGATACACTCGTATACCAAAAATCAGTTCAAATCTTTTATCTGCAAGCGTTAAGAAAAAAGTGCGGAAAACCAAGTGGGGCAGACTGACAGACAGACAGACAGAGGGACAGACGGACAGACAGACAGCTAGACGGACGGACAGACTCAGAGGAAACCTATATAGTCCCCCACGGTTTCACCGGTAGGGGACTAAAAATATTACAGATGATCAAAGAGAGAGAGAGAGAGAGAGAGAGAGAGAGAGAGAGAGATTAAACAAATGCATTACTTTCTTAATTATAAAAAAATGAAAAGTCAACTTCCCAAAATGGAGAAAGATTAACCGTCAAATATCAACCTTAAATAGTAGTACTTCCATTGCACTTCACGCAAAGCCAATGAAGAAGAATTTAGCATTCTATTTCATCTTCAATTATAAAGAGTAATCTCAATGGTTTGTCTAAATCAAAATTTTAAGTGACTATGATATGATAGAAATTTCGATTTTATCTTCATTTTAGAAGTGTTATCGATGAATAGTTTTTTCATACGTACATATAATGTATTTCAAAGACTAAAGAGAATATCCTGAGCTTTATGCTGATCAAAGGAAACTATATATCGGTGACAGATTAATTCAAGGCACTGGACAAAATTACGGCTTCAACACTTCGCTTTAAAGATGTTAAGGACTCAGATAATTTTTGTCATAAAATATTCATAGTAAAGATTAAATACTAGTATCAAAGAGCTGTTTAGCAGATTAACCTTAGAACTTAATAATCAAAACAATATTTATTTTCGACATTCATAATCATTGTGCTCGAACTCATGTAAATATTTTGAATGAAATGTATGGAGACAACCAGCAGTATTCAAGCTCAAAAGTCCATTAAATAATACAAATTTTGGAGCAGAGCAAACACGGACCTCTAAAAATCAGAGGTTTGATCAGGTGCCGTGGAGGAGTGAGCATCCCCTGCCGATCGGTCACCCGCGGTGTGCTCATTGTCATGATTGGCTTATAACGGAAAAATCCGTCGACAATTCAGTGTGTAAGTAATTGCCTAACAATTAGTATGAAAAACGTCAGTCAGCATGAATCTGTAATTTTTATCAATTTTAATTAGTTTTCTACCGTACAACTGACTTGATTTCATTTTAATTCACACTCACACAGGGATCAATTACAGGCATTAAACACTGCGATTTTATGGTATTTCACTTATCAAAGGTCAATCATACACTTCAACCTCACACAAAGCAAGAATTGCGGGCTGTTCATTTGACAAAATGGAAATAGTAACGTCATTTCCTCTGGTACCCGATTCACACAGAAACAATATGCGGTCTCCAGTTTCAGCAGGTCCAGGGTAAAAACCACACGGGTGATTTTGCCCACTTTCAGTGACGTTTACCACGACATTCTGAAGACGTTCCCCTGTAAAATGAGATTTGGAAATACCTTAATTTGTATGGATTGAAAACATAATTATATTAATATTTTACATCGAACAATATTATTATTATTATTTTTAAATTGTATATTTATTCACAAGTCAAGAAATGACAGCTTTTGTTCCAAGTGATATCAATATATGGTCCTATCCAGCTACAGACTGCGTTGTTTGTTTGTTGTTTAACGTCTCTCTCGAGAATTTTTCACTCACAAGGAGACGTCACCACTTGGCTGGTGGAGGACTGCAAATTCTGACCTATACTCGGCACTTACGGCCATTGAGCAGTAAGGGACCTTTTTCGTGCTAGCACCTACTGAGACACGGGAACTAGGTTTATACGGTCTCACCCGAAGGACTGGTCTCCACGTCCCGCAGTGGGATTCGAACCCGCGACGTAAGGATGAACTCCTTACTCCGCGACTCTAGAGCAAACGCTCTAACCACTGCGTCAGTCTGGGCGACCAGACTGCGTCGTGACTTCTTCAATAAATCAATGTACTACCTTAAAATTAAATTATTAACAAAACGATTGAGGCCTAACTTGGAAGTATAATTTAACCTTTAATGTATTATTTAACCTTTAAAGCATGAGAAAGAAGCCATAAAGTAGTAAAGAAATAAAATGATGTGTATAGGACATATGTTGACTCGGTTCTTTACTTATACAGGTTGTGTATAGGACATATGTTGACTCGGTTGTTTTAATCTTAATTACAGCCGTTAATGACTCCTCACCACAGCAATCCTGCCTGTTGTAAATCAACACCTTCTTAACATTGACGGAATTCCTCAGACCGATCTTCAGCCATGGATTTCTCTCTGATTTACTGTGTGCTATCCGTGCTGGTATTGATCCTATTTGACAAGTTGACATACCATCTACGGCATTTGATGCCATGTGGTTGCTATCAAAAACCGTGCTCAAAGTTGCATTCACGGCAACTATTTAAAATAAAACGGATAATAATCAAACAAACCATCATTGCGTTTTGTCATAATGATTGTAAAATCCACAGAGCATCTTTGGCTCCTATTTTTTGCAAAATACAAAAGAAAAAAGGCACTTATGACAGTTTTTCAGTCAAAAAATTGAGTTCCTCTGATGCAAAATAGAGAAATAGATAAATTAATTTATTAAAATAACTATTCCCAGAAAATTAAACTATACACTTTTCTTAAAAAATAATTTTAAAAAAACTTTAAAAGACTGCATCAGAAAGAGAATTTCTTTCTTTGAAAAAAAAATATTATCTCAACAGCCAAGAAAGGACATTGGAAATGCCATAATACTTTAAAAGAACCTAATAAACTATATATTCTACTTACAGTTGATTCTGTTATTTATTTCCTAGGAAAAAAATATATATTGTGTAAATTTTAATGCAAATATGACCTATTGTACATTGTTAATGCATGAATCCCGAACTTTAGTAATGTATTTAAATCATTTTATATAAATTTCATAGGTTCCTTTGTTTTCTTGGAAAAATCAGCTGCTTACATGTAATTCATATTTATCTACCATCTATATTACGTCTTAAGGTAGTCCGATACTCTGATTCTGAAAGTCTGCAGTTAAAAGTAATTTAAAATATTCACAAAAATGGCAATATTTACTTTTCCAATGTCTTTGTCCGAGATAAAATTTCAAATAGTAAAAATACTTTATTTCTACATAAATCTACTGGTTCATCGAAAGGCCTGATGAAAAAAAAAATCACGTGCGGGGCGGGACAAATAGAGACAGAAGCGGGGCTTGTAGCACGTGACTTTGCAGAATCAAGAGCATGTAAATATAAGGAATAACTGTCAGATTTTTTGGTTTCATGACGATGATCAATCGATTGGCTTGCGTGATAATTTTATGCATAAACGCCTTCGGCGTTTATGCAAATTATCACGCAAGCCAATCGATTGATCACATCATGAAACCAAAAAATTAGACAATTATTCCTTAATTGAATGCACAAACTAATGTGATTTAACCATATTTCTTCATACTCATAGCTCATCATATTACATATAAATATATTTTCTGGAATAGTGAATAAAAGCACAAGCTATGCATTTTCTAATTGAAAATTTATCAAGTACATTTCAGAATAAGTTATTATATGAAATACAGTACATAGTGTAAAAAGCTGGTGATATTAAAGCAAAATATTACAGGCAATTTCCAAAATAAGGGAAATTCGTTTTATAACAAATGTAATTTTATTGTCCCCCACTGAAAGTGGGGGTTATTATTTAGGGGCCTCTCCGTCCGTCCGACTGTCCGTTCGCCTGTCATTCTGTCTGTGGAACACTTTCGTTCCCAGACGATATCTCAGAGAGCCCTTGAGTTTTTTCAATAAAATTTAATTTAACTCCAAGTAACTTAAAGAAGACCTATTGATTTTGACGTCAAAAGTACAAAGGTTGAAGTCAGAAATCTATACATTGTAAACAAATCGTGTCCAGATGATACATTTAGTTTTTTTAACCTTTTCAACGAAATTTTATATCCTTTATCCCTGTGACTAGAGGACAACCTTATATATTTTGATGTTAAAACGTCATAGGTCAAGGTCATGAATTCAAATATTGCAAAAATGGGTACAACATTATAATCTTAGTTTTCTTTGAGCTTTTTAAACGAAATTTCTTAACTTCCTATGACTTACAGAAGACCTCATTTGATTTTGAGGTCAAAAGGTCAAGGCCAGAAATTCATTTCTTGCATAAAATGTTTCTTAATGATAACTCTAATTCTTTTTGAGATGTTGCGGTGAAATTTATGTCATTAGTCAATACGACTTAAAATAGATCCCTGATTGAGTTTGGGGTAAAAACGTCGAAGTCCAAAGTAAGAAATTCAATTAGAAATGCATACTTTCAGATAAAATAACTTTAGTTCTGTGTAAGCTTTGCAATAAAACAAAGTTAAAAAAAATCTTAAACTTAAGATATATTGACTTTATTGACTTTGAGGTCCAAAGCTGAAATGTCATGGTCGATCTTTTTTTCGTCATCTGCATTTCTTTTTAGTCTTCCATCCTCTTTTTTTTTTACCTTAAGCGAGGGACACAAATTCTCTGAATTTGCTTGTTTGTAATGTAATAGAGTGCGAATGTCTATACTTTTAACAAGACCGATTTTTAGACTTCAAAGAATCTTAATTAATATTAAGATGCATACAAAGAAAAATTGCTGCTAAAAAAAAATTCCATTTAAAGTTTCATTTTGAGACCTATTCAATTAAATGAAAAATTTAAGAGGTATTGCTCCTGGTTGAGGAACGGACAACCTTAAGCTAAAAAATAAAAGTAACAACAGAAAAGTTTTTTTTTTTTTTTCTCAGAGTGGTTTGTTTATCTTCCACTGTTTTTATGACAGACTGTTTTTGAAAATGAAACAAACTTCTGGGTAAGAATCGTGAAATTGTATACCATGTTAATAGTTTTAAAGAAATATTTACCATCTCTAGGTATTTACATCCAGGATGTTCATCAATGTTGTTTGTTCCTACTTTCGTCCACTCACAGCAAACTCGACACTCAAACAAATCCTGTCTGATCTGACATATTTCTATTCCTATACAACGTTGATCATTAGCACAAAACTTGGAACAGTTATTAAATGTCTTTCCAAACGTTGGTCCCTCTGCCGTGAAAATAGTTTGGTAGTCTGTGCTTGGAAGCTTCCCAAAATATTTCAACTGAAATACACCATGGTAACGAGGCTGCTGACAAAGAACTCCCGAAAATACAGAAATAAGAAAGAAAAAATTTACTAGATTTTTCATCATATTTTCTTCTTTATCAAACAGATTGAACTAATTAAAATCATATTATAAACTCTATTCTGACAGTAGTGCGAATACAAAAAGCTAGTACATTAATCGCACTGTTAATTATCCAGATATTAACTAAAATCGATCTAACAGCACACGTCGCTGGGACTGAAGGAGAGATCAACAATGCTGAGAAATAAAGGGTTTTAAATGCCTTTTTTTTTTCAAATTACTTATTTGAGGACAAAATTTCAATTTATAAAATAATTTGGTCTTCTGTTCAAATTAAAACCTTATGAAAATTTCATTCAATGTTTTTCAAAAGAATTTCCCTGTTTACAGATTTGTTTTGTTTGTAAATTTTTTGAGATCGATCATTCTTTGTTATCCTCACATTTTTCATGATTTATGAAGATAACGAACAGAAATCAAGCTCAAACGAACAGAAATCAAGCTCAAACGTCCATTAAAACTATAACAAGGAGAAGAGCAGATACAGACTCTAAAAATGAGGATAGATGTGAGATCAGGTTCCACGGAGAAGTAAGCATCCCCTGTCGACTGGTCAAAGTTGCCGAATACTCCCTGTCATGATATATCCGTCGTGTGAAAATAATAGCCTTAAAATTTGTATGAAAAACTTAAGTCAACATTCAACTTAACGATCAATTGTATTTGCTGACTAGGTCATTGTATCGACCATAGAATTTGCGAAATTCTGACTTTAATCGAGACTTTTGTTTTTCTTGTTTCCTCAACTTATTGTCAATTGCTTGCCTTTTTTTAGAAAAATATATTTCGTAACGTAGGGCAAACTCTTGCATATCGAATCAACTTCAAACGCAACCTATATATACACGTAATAAAGGTATATTGCTATATAAATAAGGAAGTTGACGATAGAAAAGTTGAAGTCATCATCTTTATCATAAAGTTTATATAAGGTTACTATTAATGTCTTTTTCTAGTAAAATATCCAAATATGAACAGATGTTTCAGACCCTTGGGTGTATTTTATTTCGAGTTCAAAGGGATATTTCAAATCAGCGTACGATTGAAAATTGATAATGTTAATTGATAAAACGTCTTCCATGTATCTAAATGGAAGGCCACATCAAGAGACTTCTTATAAATTTTTACATCTTGTAATTGGTCATCAGTAAAATTACTTCGTTAAAAACCACTCTGGCTGTACACACAAATACTCTGGTTGATATTAAAAGGATGCGAGAATTCCTCATCGACAATATTTTTGTAGTCTTCGGAGACCAAGTTTACGAGCAAACTGTTGGAAATCCAATGGGCATTAATTGTGCTCCTTTGTTAGCTGACCTGTTTTTATATTCCCATGAAGCAGAATTTATTCAAAAACTTCTACATGAGAAGAGAAAAACGCTTTAATTCGACATTCAGATATATTGACGAAGTTTTCCGATCATGACAAGGAGCAAACGGCACATAGTACCTCCATAGCACCTGATTCAACCTCTGATGTTTTAGAGGTCGGTGTTTGTTCCGCTCCTGATTTTTATATTGTTTGAATACTCCTCCATGGCACCTGATTCCACCTCCGCTGTTTTAGAGGTCCATGTTTGCTCTGCTCCTGATTTGTATTTTTTGACTGGACTTTTGAGCCTGAATTCTGTTTGTTATTTCCACATCTCATTATAACTCACTTTAAAGAGATTAAGGACCTGCTCAGTTAATTTACATGCATTTTCTGAAATATTGATTTCTTCTTTTTTTTTTAGTCAAATCAGGCTTAGGATTTATTCAATTTTTTTTTTAAAAAAGAAAAAGAAAAAACTTTGCTGTGGCCTTCAACTCGACATTTCGATATATCGACGACTTAGTATCAATTAATAATAGTTTCATTTTCATTCGGAAGTCGACTCGATATATCCGAGTGAGTTCGAAATAAAGGATACCACACAGTCTATTTTATATTTGGATATTTTACAAGAAAAAGACATTAATGATAATCTAACAATAAAGCTTTATGATAAACATGATGATTTTAACTTTGCAATCGTCAGCCTCCCTTACTTATTCAGGAATATACCTTTATCACCTGTATATAGGGTTTATATCTCTCAGTTGATTCGCAAGAGCATGCTCTACAAACGAACAATTTCGAAAATGCGGTAAGTTATTGACAAACGTTGATGAAACAAGAATATCAGTAGTCTCGTTTAAAGTCATCATTTTGCAAGTTCTATGGTAGGTACAATGACCTTGTCAGCAAATACAATTATCATTAAAGTTACTTATTACCTAACATACTATATAAATTGTAATTAGGCATTTTGAATTATTACCTAACCTACTATATAAATTATAATTAGGCATTTTGACTGTTTCTTGATTCATTTTAAGTTTTTTGCACATCATGAAACAGTCAAAACTGTTTACCCGGTCACAGAAAAAAACTGTTGCATGGCTGAACTAATTCATTATGACGTCATATTTAATTTCCTGTACTTTACAGCTATAATATTGAATTATGTATAAATTGAAGCATTTTCATAACAATAAATTTGAAACTATCATTTGAGAGTAATCCTGATACCCATATAAATATATATTCAATTTAATATCATTTGAAAGAAGAGGCCAAGAACACTTTTTCTGAGGGTAATTTTTGGAAAAATGTAGGCCCCTTTCTTTGCCTTTTAAAACGCCCTACTCAGCTGGTTATATTCAAACCTTTAAGTCATCATATGTTTTTTACTAAACAATACATATAGACTTCAATATTTATTAGGGCATGATACATGTAACACTAAGAAATAGTGCAAACTTTTGTCGATGTGTCTATATCATTACTTTAAGAAATTATATAGTAGGTTAGGTAATAAAACACTTATTTTATGAAAACTCGGGAAACAGTCAAACTGTAGTACATCGATAATGGGAAAGACCTGGGAAACTGTTGCCCTCGGCCTTCGACCTCGGGCAACAGTTTCCCAGGTCTTCCCTATTACCTCGGGACAACAGTTTGACTGTTCCCCTCGTAGTCATGAAATAAGTGTATACTGTTTCATTTTAATGTTTTTGCACACCATGAAACAGTCAAAACTGTTTACCCGGTCACAGAATGAACTGTTGCATGGCTGAACTGATCCATAATGACGTCATAATCAATTTCCCGTACTTAACAGCTATAATATTGAATTATTTATAAATTGAAGCACTTTCATGGCAATAAATTTAAAACTATTATTTGAAGAGTAATCCTGATACCCATATATATATCTATTCAATTTAAGATCATTTGCAAAAAAAAAAGGCCAAGAACACCTTTTCTGAGGGTAATTTTTGGAAAAATGTAGGCTCTTTTCACTCACTATAGATCTTTGCCTTAAACTTCCGACTCAGCATGTTATATTCAAACCTTTAAGTCATCATTATGTTGTTTACTAAACAATATGTATACATCAATTTATTAGTGCATGAAAATACTAAGAAAAAATACAAACTTTTGTCGATTGTCGATTACTTTAAGAAATTATATAGTAGGTTAGGTAATAAAACACTTATTTCATGACAACTCGGAAAAGAGTCAAACTGTTGTCCCGAGGTAATGGGGAAGACCTGGGAAACTGTTGCCCGAAGCCGAAGGCCGAAGAGTATAATAGTGATTCAATATCATGTGTTGCTTTAAGATAATTGTATCATAAAGGTAAAGATTTATGAGAAATGTGAATAAGGCGAAGTTTTGAGATCTCAAGTGCACGGTAAAAGCAAGAAAAGAATGCAAAATGTAAATGCCGGAAAAAGATAAGTTGTATTTATAATGGCGTGGTTGTTATCGTCAATGTCAACAATGTCATGTGTCTTTTATTTTTAGCGTGAAACTGGTAAACAACACTGATTTCAAGCAATCAAAAGTGAGGAATAAGTTCTGATCATCTTTTTTGAAGATTATATTAAAATCCTCGGTCATCCGACATTTATTAGGGAATTGTCACCTTGGTAACTTCTTCTTCAACTTTTCTGCGCATGCGTACCTGAAGCAGGAAGAAGTGAAGAAATGTTTTCGTGTTGGGGCAAACTAAAATTAATTTTACATACATTTTTCTTCATAAAAGTAGATTTTTTAGGTTTTGAAACCTGTAATTTTCTGAAACCTAATACTTTCAAGAATTGAATAGAATTTGCATGAGTCTTGCAAAAATTCTACTTTTGTCAATTTTCCCGTTTGTCCGTCACAGTGTCTCTTTAAGTCAAATTCTGACTGACGTTTTTCACACTAATTGCTAGGCCATTATCTACCCATTAATTTGTCGATTTTTCTGTTTTCCCGATCATAACAAGGAGCTCACGGCGGGTGTAACCCATCGGCAAGGGATGCTACATGTAAGTCCTCCATGACACCTGATCCCACCTCCGATGTTTTAGAGGTCCTTGTTTTGTATTGTTTGAATGGACTTTGAACACCGTTCGGTATCTCCATTCACAAAGTCACGGGGTTTTTTTGAGAAAAAAGTCTAGGTCCCGTGTCACGTAATGCGTTGGCACAATAAAGAACCTTCGCAGCTCAAAGGCCCTGAGTGCCGAGTAAAGGTCTAATATGTATGACTTGTTTCATACTAAATGCTAGACCTTTGGGTTTATATAAGATTTGATTTTCTGATGTATCCTTGATCAATTCAGAGGGCTCACAGTGTGACCGGTCAACAAGGGATGCTTACTCTTCCTAGGCACTTGATCCCACCTCTGGAATTTCCAGGGGTCCGCATTTTATGCCCTCATCACAGATTTGTATTGCTTTCGGGTTTTTTTTTCTATCGATCACTGTTCGTTATCTTCACCTTTTACATTTGATGTCCTTCGCCGGTACATGGTGAAGTCTCTTTATGAATGAAAAATTCTCGAATTACTCAGTCTGTACTTATTACAAATTGATATGTTTTCTTAATACATTTATCCTTGTGCATCAGTCATTAATAAAAGAATCTATTACAGGTAAGTAACACATTTATTTAGTGCACTTCACTTTATATAAGGTATTCTAAAAGTTTGTGTATAGACAATGCTTTTGTCATATGTTTTATTCTTAACATTACTTTATATCAACAAGGAACATCATATATATTTGGCAATTTAAGGTCGACCATACACCTCCACCTCACACACAGCAATGGAATTGAGCTGACCATTTGGTAAAATGTAGATTGTGACGTCATTTCCCCAGGTGCCCGATTTACACCAAATCAATATGCGGTCTCCATTTTCAGCGGGTCCAGGGTAAAAACCACACGGATGATTTCGCCCACTTCCAGTGACGTTCACCATGACGTCCTTTAATCGTTCTCCTATGAAACAAGATTTATAAATGAGATAAATTGTACCAATTATAGGTACATTCCTAATCATTATGTCTTGTTTTGTGAAATATCATTTAGTAGTGTTATTTTTAATTGAAACCACGACCCCTATTGTACAGAATGGCAATTGTGCTTAAGTTGATATAGATAGAAATGCCCTTCAACGTTCTTATCTTTTTAACTTTAAATGTGACAAAGTTGCTACTGCTTCATTAAAATCCCTGCTCCTTTATGTCTCATTTTTTACATCGTTGAATTAATCTCACATTTATCCCGAATTACATGTATCATTGAGGACAACCAATACGTTTTATGTTATATTGAATAATGTTATATGCATTAAAAGGAGGTATCGACTGGGGTTTCCATCGGACAATATATTGCACTGTAAGTTTTCAAAAAAAAAAAAAAAAAAAAAAAAAAAAAAAAAAAAAAAAAAACACGGTAGGGGATGCTAACCCCTCCATGGTACCTGATCTCACTATGTTTTCAGAGGTGTGAGTTTGTTTTGCTCCTTATTCATACTGTTTAATGAGAATGATCGCGTTCCTTTTCTTCACATTTCATTTACAATTTATAGAAAAGGTTTTAATATAATTCATCAAATTTAACATATTTAAGAAATCAGAGATTAAAAAAAATTACATCTTTACAGATTTTCTTCTAACAATTTTTTAACTGGAAGATTGGTGGGCGCTGTTGTAGGTGTTTGTAACGTTATGATAATCTAAATTTTTTTTTTTTTTTTTTTTTTTTTTTTTTTTTTTTTTTTTTTTTTTTAGAAATGGTCATTAAACGTGATTAAAAGAAAAAAATTATAAAAAAAAAATTATATAAAAAATTTTTTCTCTTGAGATTTTAAACAGTATTGATAAAATTTCTGCTATGTTTGGTTATATTTTATGTATAATTTTTAAATATCTGTTACATTTTGCGGTGCTGCCTAAAAGAAAAAAAGAAAATTTTGTAAATTTTGACATTTTGAGATGCCCCCTATAGAAACAAGTCAGGGGCATTTTGTGTCTAATTAATAAATAATACATGTATATGAAAATTGAATGTTTTAGGCTAACGGTTGATATCGAGACCGCTTGGAAAACCATGCCAACCGCACATTTGTCAGCAGAGATCGTTTTTGAGTTCACGTTTTAAACGCTTTCAAATCACCCGCTTCTGTTTTTTTCTCAGTAAGAAAGGTTCGAAAAAGATTTACTGACCGTTTTATAGTTTATTTGATACTTTGATCTAAAATTTCGTTAATTCTAATTTTCGCGTATAATTGTATCATTAAACAGATCTGGACGATTTCAAAATATGGAAGTCAAGAACGATAACTGAAATTTGCTATAAATATACATCATTTTTCTGCCCAATCAGACAACAGCATTTTTACACACCCCACAACATATTTCAAAGGAACAGGAAGAGAATACGTGCTTTTGTTTTTTTTCTTCAAAAAGATTTTCTCAGCAAACAATCTTTAGACTTGTCAGAAATAAGATGAAAAATTGGGAAGAGTAAGGTATTCCCAACATATTTACCGTGAAAAAAAACTTGACATTTTCATCTCGGAAAAAAGAACATTAAAGCCTGAAACAATGAGATTGTTTACGGAGGCATTGATCACACCGTCAAGCTATTATGAATTATAATTTACCAGAACATGCTCTGTGTTGATTAATGTAATTTTGCTAATCCGTCCGATTTTAGTTTCCAGGGTAGACATCTTACTGCATACAAGTATTCATCGTGTATACTACATGTAGTTTAAAAATATCAATGGTTTCATGAGCGCCGAATACCATGTTATATACACTTTAATTGGACATAAGGAAAGGTGTAAAACGTGGAGAAAAGGGAATGTTGAACGCTTTTTATCACCATAACTTACCACGCATACCAGAAACTGGACGATTTTGTAATAAATACTCAGGAAATATATAAGACTGTTATATTTCCATACGAAAACATTTTCATGTCAGGCTCTAAAAACTAAAACTCTGCCTTATTTATATCAATTTTTTAAACATAAGTTAAACTTTTGGGATTACTACCTCGTAGTGATAGATTTTTAATCCCAATTAGAATCTATTCTAAGCTTTCAAATCGCGTTTGTTCATGGTAGAATTTTCATACATCTATATGCTGTAAATGTGCATTAAGTTTACAAAAAGTCTGTTCTAAAAAATCTTTTCAGAAAAAAAGTTTAAAACCACGTGTTTTAGTTATTTTCTCTTGGGTTTGTCTTAATGCCATTATCTGATTGGTCAGAAAGATTAGCACTTTGTTTATTCTGTGTATTTATAGCAATTCACGGTTATAGTGCCTGACTTCCATATTTGGAAATCGTCCAGCCCTATTAAAGATCAGGTAGAATAATAACCAGAATCCGTGAAAATCCTGTTTTCCTTAGCTTATCTTAAAAATTAATGATGCTGTGTTGCGTTTGTTGTAATGGCAAATAGATTCAGGATCTATCTGGTATTATGAATTAAACATGTCGTTGAGACAGTGCTGTATTAAAAACACGTGTTGTTTTTAACTCGTTTATTTAACTAACGGAGAAAATCAAAACATGCACAGAAATGTAATTTCCGGATTACTTAAACATGCACAGAAGTATTATTTCCGGATTACTCAATACGAACTAACATACACTACACTCCTCTCTGACTAGTAGAAGGATCACCATGAAAACAAAAATGAAATTGATTAATGTAGCAAACAGTTCAATCAAATACAACTAAAAATTACTTCACACAAAATGAACTTTACAGAAACATGAGAAAGGTTCATCTCAGTAAATGATCATTTCCAGATTATGGATGAGCTCACAAATTCAGTCTGTCCGGCTTATTACGAGTTCTTGGCGGATTTCGACGTGGCACTGTTACTGGTGTACTGGTCTCTACGTCCTTCGCGCATTCCTGAGTTTTGTCGGTAGGACATGGAACCTTCACGGATGGCACAAACGGAATATCCACTGGAGTTGGATATGCGGCTTGGTTTTTGGATGTATGAACTATTTGGTCAATATGCCTCCTCCAAAGAGATCCATTGACATCGACTTTGTAAGATAAAGGTCCAGTGCGTGAATGGATTCGTCCATTTGCCCATTTGTCCGAGTTAGTGCGATAATCACGCGTGTTTACTGAGTCCCCATCAGCAAATTCTCGAATCACGTTTCCACAGTGTTTTGCCGTTGAGCCATATTGTTTTTGCAGTACTGTACTGGTTAAATCCGGTTTCATAATATCCAATCGGGTACGTATATTACGGCCATACATTAGAATAGACGGTGATTCATTAGTTGTTCCTTGTGGTGTGATTCTGTATTTGCATAGAAATGAGTTTAGTTTCTTGTTTATGCAAGCTGATTCTCCTGAGGCAGATTTGATTGCTTTTTTAAATGACTGAACGAACCTCTCAGCTTGGCCATTCGTCCGCGGGTGGAATGGAGAAGAGGTTATGTGTCGGATGGCATTCGACTCCATAAATTGACGAAATTCCTCTGAGCGAAATTGAGGTCCATTATCGGACACTATTTCTGCAGGTATTCCCTGTCGTGCGAATAAGGTTCGTAAGGTGTTAATTGTTGCATTGCTTGTGGTACTCCTCATCTCAAAGATTTCCGGCCATTTCGAGTACGCATCCACAACAATGAGAAACATGGCATTGTGAAAAGGTCCGGCAAAATCTATGTGTAAGCGATGCCATGCCTTTGGCGGGAAATTCCATGGGTGAACAGGTGCAGCAGAAGGCGTATTCTGCACACGTTTACAACCAGAACAAGCCTTGCAGACTTCCTCAATTGCTTCGTCAACTTTGGGCCACCATACATATGATCTGGCTACTGCCTTCATTTTGACAATACCTATGTGGCCAGAATGAAGCTCTGTCATTACTTTCTCACGCAGAATGTCTGGGATGATCACACGATTTCCCCATGTAACACATCCTTGATAAACATTGAGTTCTTCTCTGCGATTGTAGTACGGCTTTAACTGTTCATCACAATCATGAGGAAAATGTCCTCGGACCACATAGTCCAAAACTTGACTCAGAACTGGGTCACGTTGTGTTTCCCTACGAATTTGCACACAAGTTACAGGTAAGTCCTCGAAATGTCTGTTGTAGAACAAATCAATGGGATCCTTTTCATCCTGTAGTTGATTAATACTGGGTAGTGGTACACGCGACAGTGCGTCAGCATTACCATGAGATTTGGTTCCACGAAACTCAATGTCATACTGGTATCCTGAGAGGAATACAGCATAGCGCTGAAGACGTGCTGCTGTCATCACAGGAAGGGACTTCTTTGGATTGAAAATGCTAAGAAGAGGTTTGTGGTCTGTGACAAGTGTAAATTTATGTCCATAAAGGTATGAATTGAACTTTCTAACACCCCAATAGAGAGCAAGGGCCTCTTTGTCAATTTGTGAATAAGCCTTCTCTGCTTGGTTTAATGTGCGCGACGCAAATGCTATAGGTCTTTCGGAGCCATCTGGGAACACATGAGAAAGTACAGATCCGATCCCATACGGTGAAGCATCTGCAGCTAGTTTCAAAGGTAGTTTGGCATCATAATGGCACAAAACCTTGTCAGAGCAAATCAACTCCTTGATTTCTTGGAAGGCTTTATCTCTCTTGGGACTCCATTCCCACTTGGTTCCTTTGTTGAGAAGTTCATGTAGTGGTCCTGCTACACTTGACAGATTGTCTATAAATCGGTGATAATAGTTCACTAGACCTAAAAATGATCTAAGCTGTGACACATTCTCAGGGCGTTGGGCATCTCTTACAGCCTCAATTTTGTCAGGTGACTTGTGTAGGCCACGAGCATCAATTTCATGTCCAACATAGCTCACTTTAGCCTGAAAAAATTCACACTTCTGAAGATTCACATGTAGCCCATAGGATTGTAGACGGTCCAGTACCAGTTTTAAGTTGTGTAAGTGCTCCTCGTCATTGCGACCAGTAACAATGATGTCATCAATGATCACTTGTGTTGATGGTATATTCTGTAATACTTGCTCGATTGCACGCTGCCATAGTGCTGGAGCAGATGCAATTCCGTACGGAAGTCGCTTGTATTTAAACAGGCCTTTATGGGTGTTTATGACGAGTAGATCCTGTGAATCTTCATCTAGTTCCATGTGGTGATATGCTTGTGTTAAGTCCAATTTTGAGAAATTCTTTCCACCAGCTAGGGTTGCGAAAATGTCCTCAATTTTGGGAAGAGGGTATTTGTCGACGCACATTACAGGATTGACAGTTACTTTGTAATCGCCGCACAGTCTAACGTTACCATTCTTCTTAATGGCTGGGACTATGGGGGTAGCCCATTTGCTATGTGCAACAGGCTCAATAATTCCATCTGCCTGTAATTGATCAAGTTCTTGCTCAACCTTGGTCCTCAGAGAATAAGGAACGGTCCTAGCTTTAAGAAACACAGGTTTGGCTTCTGGATCAACTGTAACTGTCCCCTTAATGTGTTTAAGAGTTCCGACTCCAGGTGAAAACAACTCCTTATGCGAGTCAAGCAGATCCTTCAATGGTGACTGATTTGTTGAATTACTTGAACGTAAAGTCTTTATCTCCTGCCAGTTGAGCTGTAGCTTTCCAAGCCAGTCTCTTCCAAGTAAAGCTGGTCCATCATGTGGAACAACAAGTAATTCAAGGTTAGCAGATTGTGAGTTGAGTTTAACATTCACCTTCATCTTGCCCACAGGTTGAATCATGTCTCCTGAATATGCACGCAGTAATTCACTGGATGGTTCAAGGTTTACCTTGCTAAAGTTTGCACTGTAGTCACTCTTGGAAATCACGGAAACAGCTGTTCCTGTATCGACTTCCATCTTGATGACTTTGCCTTCAATAATTGGTTCCACAGTTATTGGTGGTTCATGATGTGATTTCATGTGGAAAGTGCTTGTGATGTGTAGAAGTGGTTCTCCATCACCCTCCTTGTAGCGTTCTTCAGAGTGAAATTCCTCCTCATTATAGAATAGAGAAGTGTTACGTCCCTTGTTCCTGTCACGTTTCTTTTTCATGCAGGCTCGCTCAATGTGTCCCACCTTCCGACAGAAAGAACAAACAGTGTTAGTGTGTCGACACTGTGATGCTGGATGATCACCATCACAACGATAGCATGAAGGTTTCTGTATTGTTGGTCGTGCATGAGATTGAGCATTTGTGTTTCTCACAGTAGGTTTCTTGTTGAATTGACGTGGTTTAGGACGTGTGCTGATTTTGTTAACTGTCTCACTCTTTATCCCCTGTACTTCAGCTGCATCTCTAGCTGCCGTTTCCATAGCAACAGCAAGGTTGATTGCTTTCTCCAGGTCAAGGTCTTTCTCTGAGAGTAGCCTCTTTTGTATGGTTTCTTGGCGTAAACCAACCACTAGTCTGTCACGTAATGTGTCACTCAGGGCTGCCTCAAATTGACAATGTGTTGCCAGATTACGGAGCTCTGCTATGTACGACAAAACCGACTCATCTGGGCGTTGATTGCGCTTATGAAATCGGAACCGCTCGGCAATCACCGAGGGTTTGGGGCTCAAATGCTCACGTAGTGCCTTCAAAAGGTCCTTTATGCCTTTGTCTGTAGCCTTAGCTGGGGCAATTAAGTTTTTCAAAAGTGTGTAAGTTTTTGGACCAATTAAACTTATCAAGGCAGGAACTTTGTGGTTATTATCAATGTCATTTGCGAGAAAAAATGCCTGTAATCTCTCCTCGTATGACTCCCATGATTCAACCGAGTCGTCAAATTGTTCTATTTTACCGATGTGTGGCATTGTAAACAAATGATAGTAGGTCAATCACGTACTTACTCCTCGTCGCCAGTTGTTGCGTTTGTTGTAATGGCAAATAGATTCAGGATCTATCTGGTATTATGAATTAAACATGTCGTTGAGACAGTGCTGTATTAAAAACACGTGTTGTTTTTAACTCGTTTATTTAACTAACGGAGAAAATCAAAACATGCACAGAAATGTAATTTCCGGATTACTTAAACATGCACAGAAGTATTATTTCCGGATTACTCAATACGAACTAACATACACTACATGCTGTCTGTCCTCCTTGATATATTTCCACGTCTAATATTATTTATTTATTTCCTCAATCTTCTGTCATGTTTTTTTTTGGTTTTGTTTTGTATACCTGTATGTACCTCTGACCAGTTTTGTATATAATGTATATATGTTATTACTGTACCCCATATACCAATATTTTGGTTTGGGTGAATAAATTGAATTTGAACTTGAACTTGCTTATAAATTCAATATTACTATCTCGCGGAAATAATATGTCGCAAAACATATTGTATATGCAACGATTCTTTTGTTGTATTTTACTGACCTCACAAGTCGGTGTTTAGGACATATAAACACACACACACACACACACACCCTCACACACCCACACCCACACCCACACCCACACACACACACACACACACATACATACATATACATATATATATATATATATATATATATATATATATATATATATATATATATATATATATATATATATATATATAAAGCACTAAAAATGACCAACGACACGAACAATAATAAATATTATTATTGTTCGTGTCGTTGGTCATTTTTAGTGCTTTATATAAATTTCCATCCGTGACTTTGTATCTACTTAGTAGATCCGACACTTAGGATATACAGTGTTGTTGGTTTTTAGTGCTTATATATATATATATATATATATATATATATATATATATATATATATATATATATATATATATATATATATATATATATACTTTAGCTTTTTTTCTGAATTTTTGTAATACAGCTTTAAGGAAATGACTTACCACAGCAGTTATATCTGTTGTGAATCAGAACCTTCATTACATTAACCGAATGATTTAGACCAATCCTCAGCCACGGGTTCATCAGGTTTATCTCATCTTTAGTGTGAGCTAGTGCCTCTTCAGGACAGAGTGTCAATCCATCTACTGCATGGACTGCTTGTAAGTTAAGGTTGTAGTCATCAAAAATTGAACTCAATGCGGCACTTACAGCTACTGTAAATAGTAAAAATCTCAGCTTTAAATCATTTTAAAAAAATATTGTGAATTCTGCAGTTCATGAAATTTTCTGCTTTTTTAATTTTTTTTTACTGATCTTTTTTTTTGGGGGGGGGGGGGATACAGTAAATGCCGTTATGCAATTTATGCAGAAGAAGAAAAAAATTCCATTGACACAGAAAAAATAAATCAAATGCAATGAAATGAATATTATGCCCCTTCTAATAATCTGCATTGTGGAAAATAAGTTTGTATATATAATCGATTCTTCAACATATCATTAAAAGAGTTTTTACCCCTGAACACTTAATATTACAATTATATTACAATTATGATGTCATTCTTAAAATATGATTTTGTTTTGTTATATTGTATAGCTCATATATAGCTAATTTAAGACGAAAAAAGTGTACATGAAGTGAAAATACTTAAAAACAATAAGAAATAAAGTTTTTTTTTTTTTTTCATAACAGTAGGCTTCCACAAACAAAAAGAGCAGTAACAAAATAAAATTAAAAAAAATATAGAGAAATCGTTTATCTGTTTGATTTGAGAGTCCCCCCTCCCCCCCCCCCCCCCCAAAAAAAAAAAAAATTAATTCATCGATAATTATAATTGTATTTACAAAAAAAACTGCTACGTTTTGCCACTTTTACCTTTGGCTGACTCTTTTTTTTTTTTTTTTTTTTCTGAAAAAGTACATCTTTCAAGAGAAAGAATAGAGTCCGAGTATTCAGGATGATTAAAAGATGCTTAAACTAAAAGGGTTTTTAAAAAACTAATTATTTTTTCCCTTGCACTTCCAGATATATCTACACGCAGAATTAAAATGACATCGGAAAAAATTACATTTTTAAATCTTTGGTTGCATAAAACAAGTTAAGAACAATGAGAAAGTAATCATTAGACTGCTTTAATATATTGGTATTTTGCCATGCGTGTAAAATCATTCCGAAAAAAAAAATTATTTTCACAAATTTCTCTTTTGTGATTATTTTTTTTTAAATTAGAAAGCAATTAATCTGCTTATCTGCAGTAGGAAATAAATTACAATCGGCATAGGACAGATTTTACCTGACGAGATTCTTATACTGTTATTAAATTCCTAGCAACTCACATATGTCACAGCTAAAGTAAAAGTGCTTATTCAAACTTTTCTTATACATCGGAATAAGAGTTGTAAAATAAAGGATTTCATTTAATAAATATTTGTTGAGAGGATCTAAACTGAATAGGCTTACAGCATTTTTAAACAATTTAAAAAAAAATTAATAATCAAAAATTGGGAAAAAGAAGAAGAGAAAATGAATATAAACCCGAGTTTAGAAAGCATGCATACGGCAGAACACCGTGCAACGGACACCCATACCCTACACCTTATTGAATGTAGAAAAAGAAATTATCCTAACAAATTATCGTTATCATTTTAAAAGATTAGAAAAAGTAACATAGTCACTTCAAAGGAACCCAATGAATTGTGTATCTACTTACAGTTTTGATCATTTCCTGTTTTCTAGTAATAACAAAATTTTACATGTTAATTCTCTTCCAAATATAAGATTCTATACATCTTTAATGCTTTCAAGCTCAAAATAACTTCAACATTTGAATTATCTGGAATAGTTAGTAGTCTTTAGAAATCAAACTGTCATCTAAAGTTTTAAGAAAAGTAGAAATAAGTAAAGAAATTACACCTTATTGTGTCTCACATTGAAAGGCTTGTTTGAAAAATAGACATGTGTGATAGTAAAATAGCTAATAATAAAAATGTAATATCGGGTTTCATGTAAATTTTAATTGAAATATTTACCATTTCCAGGTATTTACATCCAGGATGGTCAGAAATACTGTTCGTTCCTATTTTCATCCACCCACAGCAAACGCGACATTCAAATAAATCCATTCTTATTTGACAAATTTCTATTCCTATACAACGTTGATCATTGGCACAAAATTGGGAACATTTATTTATAGTTTTCCCGAAAGTTTGTCCCTCTGCCGAGAAAATGGTTTGGTATTCTTTGTTTGGAAGCTTCCCAAGGAACTTCAGATAAAATTCACCATGGTAACGAGTCTGTTGACTCATGATTCCCAAAAATACAGACGCAAGGTAGAAGAATTTCATTTTATTTTTCATCTTATTTCTTCTGCATTGAACAAATCGGACTAACTAAAATTATTGTAAACTGTATTCCGACAGTAGTGTGAATATAAAAAGGCTAATAAATTAATCCCACTATGCTACTTGGCTATTTTACCACGGAATAGTTATCGATCTGAAAGAAGACTTTATGTGGCTTGAACAATGAAACAATGATAAGAAAAATAAATGATGTGAAATCTATTGACTTTTTTCTTTCTTTTCTAATTTCTTATTGTAAGGGACAAAATTACTATTCATTAAATATATTTGTCCGAAACCACCTGAAAAATCTACATAGTATATTGGTGCAGCAATTGGTCCATTTTTTATATAAAAAGAATGATTTTACTGCTTATTGTAAAAAAAAGAATTTGTTTGCCATTCATCTCCCGGCAAAATATCTGAAATAAGAATGGTATTTTATGCAGTAGGAGTAATATACACTGAGATCTTAAATAAAATGAATTGGTGTTATTTTTTACTAATTTGTATTACCTACTTTTTAATCAATTAAAAAATTCTTTACATAAAACAAAGATTAATCCATTAAACAAATTTCCTTATTCATACAAACGAGATGACTTCAGTTTTTCCATCGTCAACTTTCCTTATTTATGTAGTAATATTTCGCTATCACCTGCATATGGTTTTTAGTTTCCCAACTAATTTGATATTAAGGAGACCGGTCAATAGGGGAAGTTTACTCCATCTAGGCACTGATCCAACCTCTGGAATTTCCGGAGGTACGTGTTTCATGCCCTGTATCTTTGTTTCTTGTTTAACGTCCCTCTCGAGAATTTTTCACTCACATGGAGACGCCACCACTTGCCGGTGTAGGGCTGCAAATTATGACCTATACTCGGAACTCAGGGCTATTGAACAGTGAGGGATCTTTTTCGTGCCAGCACCTACTTCGACATGGGATCTCGGTTTATGCGGTCTCATCCGAAGGACCGGCCTCCACGTCCCGCAGTGGGATTCGAACCCGCGACGTAAGGATCTACTCCTTACATCGCGACTCTAGAGCAAATGCTATAACCACTGGGCCACGCGGGCTACTCCTGCCCTGTATTTTTTGTTGATTTTTTGAGATCGATCTCTCCTCATTATCTTCTCCTTTTTCAGTCTATTAGACTAAGGTTTTTATGCTACATTGGACTACGGAATGATCTGCCTCCTGATCAATAGGGCTCACGGCAGGTGTTCTTCCATTATATTCGCTTCCTCCATTCAACAAGACCGTCACAGTAGGTCAGTCGGTAGAGCACTCGCTCCAAAATCAGAAGGTCGTGGGTTCGAACTTCGGACGCAACTGACCTAAGTCGAAAAAAAGTAATAACTATTTCTTCGCCAAGCGCTCGAAACTTTGAAGTGAAAGTTGCGAGTCTTTTGGATGAAGCCTTAAAAACCGAGACCGTTTTTCACGGTACGCATTGACAAGATGAAGAACCCTCATTGCTCAATGGCCCTGTGTGCCGAGTAAAGGTCTAAATTTGAATCCCTTCACAGGTATATGGCGACGTCTCTATATGAGTGAAAAATTCTCGAAAGGGACACAAAACAACATACAAACAAACAATCAATCAATTAAGCAA